TGGAGCTCGTTGGTTCGCTGTGCTTACTTGCCTTCAGGTTAGCCACGGCCGCCTTTAACTACAGGCCGCGGCCATCAAACTGGCAACGTCGCAACATAGACAAACCAACACAAGTTAAAATGTAACATATTTAAAACGTTATGAGTACTGGTATGAGTAAAAGTTTTTATGTCAGCTTGGTGGTTGAGTGATTATAGTACTGCTGTACTTGCCTTGTAATCAGAAGGTAGCTGGTTAGATTCTATGTTACTTTGTTTGTATTACCTGTCACTAGTTTGGTATTAATAATTTAATTAATCTTTGTCACAGGTGTACGAGGCTGCTGGGCTGGCCAATGCTGATAGTTTTATCCGACAGTTCCCTGATGGCTAGAGTATCATTCTGGGGGAGAGAGGAGTTACCGTGTCTGGGGGCCAGAAACAGAGGATAGCTATCGCCCGCGCTCTACTGAAAATCCCATCCATCCTCATACTAGACGAGGCTACCAGGTCAGTTGCAAGGGAAAGACTTGATTGTAAAAAATGTTAAAATGTAACATGTAAAAATGTAAAATGTAGACGACGACGACGACGACGACGACGACGACCATTCTGGGGGAGAGAGGAGTTACCGTGTCTGGGGGCCAGAAACAGAGGATAGCTATCGCCCGCACTCTACTGAAAAACCCATCCATCCTCATACTAGACGAGGCTACCAGGTCAGTTGCAAGGGAAAGACTTGATCGTAAAACATGTTAAAATGTAACATGTAAAAATGTAACATGTGGAAATATAAGAAGTTAAAATGTAACGTGTTAAAATGTAACATATTAAAATGTAACATGTAAAAATGTAACATGTAAAAATGTAACATGTTAAAATGTAACATATTTAAAACGTTATGAGTACGTTTTGAGTACACATCCTGAAATTAAATGATCAAAGATTCATTAAAATTTTGTCATTGGTTTTTTCAATTTTGAAAACAGGCTCCCCAAAATATTTCAAATCCGATTTTAAATTTGTGTCTCAAGGTAATTCACGAATGTCTCGTTATTCTTCGATCACATTGCGTATACCTCATCATGTCACCACAGCTTATGGCAGGGCTTTTGTTGTTACCGCTTGTCGTCTGTGGAACGGCCTACCCCTACACATTAAGACCCTTGAAAAACGTTCCCAGTTTGTGGCGGCACTGAAAAAGCTCTATTTTGAGAAGATGGTCTCGGCTGGCGTGTCCTAGGGCTACTATTACTTTGCACGTTTGCTGATGCGTGTACCGGTATGCGAGAGTGTGTGAATGTGTTTTTCTATTTGTTAAATTTATATGTTTTTTTTAGATATGTAGGTACTTGAATTGTTAAATATTTTATATTTAATTAGATTAAGTTATCCCAATGTCACATTATTTTTGTTATGAGTACTGGTATGAGTAAAAGTTTTTATGTCAGCTTGGTGGTTGAGTGATTATTAGTAACTGCTGTACTCGCCTTGTAATCAGAAGGTAGCTGGTTAGATTCTATGTTACTTTGTTTGTATTACCTGTCACTAGTTTGGTAGCTTTGGTGTGTGCTGACATCCCAGCCCAACTGGAACCCACAGGTCTTGACCGAAATGATGGGAAGCGGCCAGATGGAGCCACAATCATCCCCTGGAGCAAGGGCCAATGTCTAATCTGAGATTTCACTTGCTCTGATACTTACGCAGTAAGTTATATAAATCAAACAAAAAAGCAATCCGGAGCAGCTGAAATGACCACCCAGAGAAAACATACAAAATACTCTAATATTACATCAAAAGGATACCAATTAATCGTCCTGGGTGTGGAAACTGCTGGGCCATGGTGCAAGGAAGGCAAGAACTGGGTAAATCAAATAGGCCGCAAGTTAATAGAAAAAACAGGCGACCATAAAGCAAGGAGCCACTTAATACAACGAATTGCCATGGCCATACAGAAAGGAAATGCCGCCAGCATAATTGGTTCCTCACCCACAAACGACGACCTTTCATCAATATTTTATTTGTAAAATTAATGTAAGAATTAAATTTTGTCTATTACCATATCCCCTAACATTAGCTCTATTTATTTATTTTATATACCAACGGAACATCTCCAATTTTATAGTCTAGATATAACAATATTTCTCTTAGGTGACTGTAGAATTTAAATACATTTTTGTAAACATTTCAACCCAGCAATAAATCTATATATAAAAAAGGCAAAGCCCTCACTGACTGACTGACTCACTCATCACTCAACCAGGACGTGATTGAGCCATGCGAACGAGCTCACATATGAAGTTAAACGGGGCAAAGCCCGCGGGTACAGCTAGTAAGTACATATTTAACAATAACAATAAATATGTATAAATATATATAAGTATAACAACAATAAATATATAGTAGATAACAACAACAATATAAATATATGAAAAAATAAAGCAAATCTGAACATTTGATGGATGCCTGCAACAAATAACAAGTTTTTTACAGAGAAGAAAGGAAAACAGTCAATATATATTCAATTAAATAACAAACAGATTAACAAGTGATAGAATATATAACGGTAAATAACAACAATAAATAGGTGAAATTAAGTCGTTCATGCCTGCAACCCAGCAATCCTCCTCCTGAGAGTCGCCACACTGTCGTGGAAGAAATCAACAGATCCAGCGATGCTGTTGCCAGACCTTTGAAGACGAGACATCGTGCTGTTTGCTGCGTAGTTGGTGCGGGTGTATTGCCTCACGAACAGGTCGCCGGATCGGGTGGCTGATGGTGTCTTGAATAAGATCAGACGCAGGATGTCAGGACAGTCAACCTTGCCATTGAGGATCTTGTGTAGCAGCACCATGTCAGCAGAAAATCTGCGACTCGCAAGAGACTGCAGCCCCAGATCCCGAGAAATGTCTTCAATTGGGACGTGTCGGTAAGGAATTCCGGTCCTGACCCCGACCATTCTAATAAATCTTCTTTGAATGCTCTCTAGTTCTTCAATCAGATATTTTTGGCGAGGGTCCCATACTGGTGAGGCATACTCGAGAATCTGGCGCACCAATGCGCAATACAAGGTCTTCAGAGCCATCATATCGCTGAAGTGTCTTGAATATCGGAAAACAAATGCCAGCATTCTATTCGCTCTGCAACAGATGTGAATTACGTGGGACTCAGGGTTTAGTGAAGGTGTCAAGATAACACCTAGGTCCTTTACCTCCTGCACTCGAGTTATGGGTTCACCACGCACTGTGTATTCAAACACTACAGGAGAAAGGCAGCAGTGGAAGGTTATCACTTTGACACTTCTTGATGTTAAGTTTCATTCTGTTGGTCTGGCACCAGTGGTCAACCATGTGGAGGTCCCCCTGTATCCGTAAGCAGTCGTCTTCCGAAGATATGACAGAGAAGATTTTCACATCATCAGCAAAAAGTAGAGAATCCCTAACTTCTAAAACTGTAGCTTCACAAGATTTTTAAACACATTGGACGGATTGGTCACTGGGCTAGTGGGTTAGGGCTATAAAAAACTACTCCTGTTTGAATGTAGAAATAGATTTTCAATTAAAATTGTTTTGGTTTAGAACACTATATGTTTTATATTAAATATTTTAATGGATTTATAATCATACATTTAAATTTAAATAAATAATCCGTAAATTACTGAGCTGGTGTCACTTGCTTTCCATGTTATCTTATGGGACTTCCGGGGCTGGACAGCACCACTTGCAACGTTGCCAATTCTACAAGGCCGCGGCCTGTAGTTAAAGGCGGCCGTGGGTTAGCTCGCCTCCAGGTTGAAATTCGTTCGCTATGCTCACTCACCTTTTGGTTGCAAATTAGCTGTTGTCATAAATTAAAAAAAAATACCCCCGCCGCAGCAAACCTGCAGTCTAAGCGAATTTCCATTTGCCTGATTGGATCTACACTCAAATGTCTCCTTAAAATTATCACATTTATTTCCCTTCCCTATTTAGTTTAGCGTACTTAGGTTTGCTGCAACAGGGAGGATAAAAATTGTACAACTTTGCAAAAATCTTTGAAAAATCAATTAATTTCTGCTTGATAAATTACTTGGAACAGAACAATCTTTAATCGCAATCACAATTTGGATTCGGGAAAAATAAATCAATCACAAAGACATTAACTAAATTTGTCAACATGGTCTGAGGCGCTGGATGAGGGGCAGAGTACTGCTGGGGTGTTCTGTGACTTATCCAGGGCATTCGATTGTGTTGACCACAAACTATTTGCAAACTGAAGAAAGTATAGATTGGTAAAATAGAAAGCAACTCACAGTAATTTATAAAAATGGCCACAAGTTCTTGTCCAGATGGAATAATATCAGGTACAGTGTTCCTCAAGGTTACATCCCCCCCACTTCAGTTACTGCAACTCATTGATCAATGACTTGACTGCGACTCAGGCGGGTATGCTCCAGCAGTCACAGAATTATTGTTTGAGATTTGTCTATGGTCTGCGACGTATGGAGCATATCACGCTATACTACCTTGAGGCACACATCCTGAAATTAAATGATCAAAGATTCATTAAAATTTTGTCATTGGTTTTTTCAATTTTGAAAACAGGCTCCCCAAAATATTTCAAATCCGATTTTAAATTTGTGTCTCAAGGTAATTCACGAATGTCTCGTTATTCTTCGATCACATTGCGTATACCTCATCATGTCACCACAGCTTATGGCAGGGCTTTTGTTGTTACCGCTTGTCGTCTGTGGAACGGCCTACCCCTACACATTAAGACCCTTGAAAAACGTTCCCAGTTTGTGGCGGCACTGAAAAAGCTCTATTTTGAGAAGATGGTCTCGGCTGGCGTGTCCTAGGGCTACTATTACTTTGCACGTTTGCTGATGCGTGTACCGGTATGCGAGAGTGTGTGAATGTGTTTTTCTATTTGTTAAATTTATATGTTTTTTTTAGATAACTAATTGGTAAAAATGTAAGGACCGTTTGTGTCTGTAAAGGGTTAACAAAAATATTTAACCATGGATGAAAAAAAACAAATTGAAAACAGCATAAAACAATATATTTTTCATTTTCCTGTAGTCAATGAGGGTGTTGAGTTTCTTGCTGGTTTTCTATACAGGTTGGGCCATCATTTCATTTCTTGTATCCATAACAACTCACAGCTGAAAATAAACATCAATCAATACACCAACTGGAGCAAAACATCTTGAAAAAACTAAATTGTAGTGAGCTGCATAGGCATTCATCAATATATGGGGGGGGGGGGGGGGGGCTGAGCCGCCCTATTAGACCCCACGTTAACCATATTTTTTTAAAATTGTGCAGTAAAAACTGAAACGTTAATAATTCTCACATATAGCTGAGGAGTTGAAGTAAAAATATGTGTAAAATCAAACATTTTGTACCAAAATTTGACTATTTCTGGGGGAGGCCTCCTGGATTCCTCCCTCTATAGTGGGAGCTAATTCATACCCCCCTCGGACCCTCTGGCCACCATAATGGAAATGTTAGATGGAGGCCCATGGTGAGGTGATCAGTAACACAGTACATGATGTTCATAGGAATAGCCTACAACTGGAAGTAGCTCTTGCACGACAATTCTTGCTAGAAAATCGACACGCTGAAAATTCTGTTATGTTGGTACAGTACCAACTAGAAGAATCAACCAGGCTCATGTTTTGATTTATCACAATTTCCCCAATTCATCCACTAGTTCTGATGTACTAACTACAATGTCTACAATGGTAATATATGCAAAGCTCATGTGGGTGGTTACAATTAAATGTGCATACATGTGTGCTCGTGTATAAACTGTGACTTGACCTAGACTTGACATGAGCGGAAGTCATGATGCTACATTTGAAGCCCAAATGTCGGTGACTGAAATGTTTTGACGATTTTGACATGGTAAATGTCCAAACTCCACGAATATACAATAACTGACCAAGTGGAAGCATATCCAGGAAGATTATATTTGAGTTAATTCTATGAAGCCTACCATCATACTCCTCATCCAGCATGGACAGTGCCTCTAGCCAAATTGGTCCTGATATCCGAGGAATCTCACAAGTCCCTTTGTATTCTGGCGGAAGGCAGTCCTTGTCTATGTGTTGGTGCAGGGACTCAAAGTCAGCACCATGAATGTGAATCTGTCACCATAAACATACCCTATGGAGGCATTTTCTTTTTGGTGTATAAGTGAATAATAGAACCTCGATTAATCATAGACACTTAAAATTATGAAGTAAAGCTTAATTAGTCAGAATGTGTAGAAGAGGGTGAAAAGTAGTAAATATAGATAACAAGTTACTCCTGAAAAATCAGGGAGCAATAATTTAAATTTGTTTATAAAAAAATTAGACCCATCTAGCAAGCTGCTGAACACAAAGGATAACAAACAACAATTATTGAGGCTAAACCGAAAACAATTATCTTATTAAAACTTCACAATAATTTTGATCTTAATCAGTAATAGTATTAATGATTTCTTAGGATTGATATTGAAGTTTACAATGTCACTATAGAAATTTACTTCAGAATATATCTGAGCAATTGATATCTTTTCCAAAATGTATATAAAAAACTTGTAATGATCCCTCTTGATAAAAAAAAAAAAAAACAATTATATTTTTCTTCAGAAAATGGAATTGTCAGCTCCCATAACTTTTATTTTTGGTATGGATTTCTAATGGTTGTTCTTTACTTATTTATCTTGAATCTTATAATTGGATCATAAATAAACCCATTACTTCTTTCCTTATTAATTATTAGAATGTTGATCCTTTTTTTAGACCCACCCTCTGCTACGCATGGCACTTTTTTAAACAGTGAATTTAAGTCCACAAAATGAGTGGGCAAAAATTTTCCTGATAAGGTGATGCCTATTATTTCTAAGAAGTTCAATTAGTTTAATCTACTTTAGTGCATTCAGGGTCGGAAAGAAAAGTTGACACAACCTGCATGATAATAAACAATTTATATTTTTAGTAATGTAATATTACTAGAAATTTAGCATGACCACATCCCCATATGACGGTGAACACAGAATTGTGTATAAAAGGGATAAAAAATACTTCAGCATTAATAATAACAATGTCTATCCTATTATAAATCAATGTTAATCATATATTGACCCAAACTTACTCTTTTTTGTAATTTTTCTGACATCAGAATAGTAAATAGCTTCAATAGTTTGCCGAACCCCAGTGGTTGGTTGATAATATGCAGACTCTTGATTCTGATTGGAGAAGCGGTCTGAAATGGGTAAACGTCAATTTTATTTTTATAAAAGTCTTAAAGATTTTTGAATGCGTCAAAAGAAACCCAGCTGCCAAATGACTTTTGGTATATCACTGTTGATGGGGAGACAGCTAGCCCAGTCTCAGTCCAAAATGAGTGTATAGTGGGTGAAATGCCTTGGGTAGCAATTGATACTGATACATAATTGGGAGTTATTAATGATGAGTGAGAACAACTAGCTATAGTTAGTAGTAGTCATTCAATCTATATTTGCCCTCAATTCAGTTTGAAATATTTACCTCTCTCAAAGATATTATTGAAAGTGGTGAATATTATTAGAAGTGGTGCAGGGTGCAGCAAGTAACTATGATATTTCATGGGTAAAGTAAAAAAATCCATAAACTTGTGCACCGTAATTTTTACATCGATCAGAATTATACCTCTATTGTCAGTAGGCGTATGTGTGTGTGTGTGTTTGAGTCTCAACTGTGTGAAGTCCTCTTTTACGAGACTTAACTTAGGTTTAATCAGAATGTGACTCTTGTTCTATATTGATGTTTTGAGATGGTTTTTGTTTGTTGCTCCATACAAACATAGGCCCAATATAAAAAAAATCAGTGAGTGTTAAAATTGAAAAAAGTCAAATCTCTTTAAATTTAAAAGAATATTGTTGACATCAGTAAACTTCTACAGGATACTTCATTGTACCATCACAGAGCTTACAGAGTTTTTATACTGGTTAATTGTACTCTAGAATACCTGAAGCAGATCGACAATCCTGAATATAAATGCAGGATTGATGGTAAAATGAAACATCTGCCAAGCATCAAGCCCGTCCAAGTCAAAAATGACGACGACTCCAGAAATCTGGGTTTCGGGTTCCATTAGTGCAGCCTCCAGAAATATTACAGAGCCTTTGAAAATGTCGTCCAACGAACATTCATTGTACTTCCATCTTCCTGAAAGTCAAAGGAAGAGTTTGGTAATTGCATTGATGTTGATGGAAATAAACTGGTTGGATTTAGTTTTAATGGAAATTCATATATATAATTGTAGCTAAAAGTCGGTTATATATGCGTCTTATGTCTCATTTGATTGCAATGCTATAGAAACATTTTTGAAATTTCACGTATATGGTGAGTCTCGGAAATGTCTTCATCAAACTAACCAACTGAAAAGTTTTCAAATTAAATTTTATAAATCTCAATCTTAAATACAGTAAGTTATTCAAAACAGTAATTGCACAATATTGAAACAGTGGTTCGGATAAGTGTAGCGTTTAGTTGTTGATTTGGGGTAAAAATAAACCATACTTACTCCCGGTTTCCACTAGCAAAATTCTTCGCCCATGCTGATCTCTATTTGGCAAAACAGTCATAATGTCATGGTTGAATATAATTTCCTCCGTGGACGGCTTTAGGTTTTCATAGAACCTTTTGTTCTTGTCCTCGATCTTGAACTTGTAATAGTTTTTAACCTGCAACATCAAAAGTAGTTCACAAAGTGTCAGAAACATTTGCTTAGGTAAAAAAATAAATACCAATAATTTATTTAGCTTCATTGGAACAGTCTTGAAATCTCTCTGGTGAAAAGAAAAAGATTTGAGACTGTGGTAAGATAGTTGAACTATACCTAGCTGCTGTTAAGTGCTAACTCTAAAATGTCATGGGCTTTTCCAATGCCCAATGCCAAGTTTTAAGAATACTAACTGTTTGACAGCTTTAGGTGTAAACTCAGACTCAAGTTTTCAGATCCTCCAATTGTAACTTATAAGAAAGAGCAAACATTAAGTGTTTCTAGGAATTTATTAGTATTGCATGACTATTATAACACACACTTGCAAGTACGGTATATAAAATATAAACAAAAACTAGCAGTTTGTGATGGACAGTAGTCCAGGTAAGATAATACAAATACCTCTTTTAAGCGAATTTCCCATATAGGGAATACGCTATTACCGTAGTATTCAGGGTAAGACCTGGACCCGGGACCGATTTACTTTTCGTTTGAGATCCCTAGTGGCCAAAAACACCATCCGTTCAAATTCATATATATATGTGTCTGTTAGCACGATGGCTCGAGCAAAAATGATCCGATTTTGATGAAATTTGGTATAAACGTGTAAACCTACATTTATTAGAACGAGTTCGTGAACCAGCATGATTGGTTTATAGGGGGTTTTATAGGGTAAAAATAGTTTTTTCCAATTTTTGACCCTAAAAACACAACATTTCACAATTTCTTTCTAAATCATTTTGTAGAGCTTAAAAAACCAAATAATTTAGTACATTGAAGCGTTATTGTGCCCCTAATCTAATGGTTACGGAGAAAATTCCAAAAAATTGTAAATTTAAAATTCCCATGTTATTGTTATTTTTATGGAGAATAAATTAACTGTTGTAGTTTGCTTGTTTATGAACATATTTTGATCGAATTTGGAAAATACATCAATTTCTTACTAAACTATTAACATTTTACAACAAAAACACTTTTTTACCCTCCCTTTTGCAGCAAACCTAAGTACTCGTTAAACTAATTCTATTTAAATAGGGAATAAATGTGATAAGGAGGCATTTTAGTGTAGATCCAATCAGGCAAATGGAAATTCGCTTAGTCTGCAGGTTTGCTGCAGCAGGGGTATTAATAAATTTGTATTGGCTTTACATCTTGAAAAGAAGTATACCACTGTATACTTTTCCCTTTGTAAACATTACAAACTGTTTTATATTACCTTGGGAACATTTAAAATTGCTCCGAGAATTAAGGTATAAAGGAAACTTGCTTATGGGACCACAGTGTGCTTTCAGCTCTAGTGTGTTGTACTAAAACTATACTTGTGGTGAGCAAGGGAGAGCCTGAGCAGCAAGCACTGTGCGGAAATTCCTATCGCACAGGGTCTTCCTCCACCGTAAGCATAGTAGTACATGAGGGTGAGAGGGGCAGTGTTGGACTTTTCCCTAGACACCAGCAACTAGTGCTAGACACCACTTAAATGTACTGTTGAATGTTTTTTCTGTACCTTACTTCTGTGACTATTCCACAATAGTCACATGAATATCCAAATGTTTCTCAAAACCATTACCTTTTGGAATGCACTCTCTGGATAGTAATGCGCAATTCTGAGGAATCTTTTCAGCCAGGCTATGTTTTCCAGTGGAACTATTAATCCATTCTCTTCTTGCTCCTCTGTAACATCAGCTTAATTGGATATTTTTCTTTTCAAAATATTTATTTAGAAAAATCACAACATGTAAGAAAAGTGAATCCTTCCTCCACATTTTACTTACTCACATCGCTTATTTTTATTGATTAAGTAAGATTTATGATCTATCACTGGCCTATTTCTTTGATTTCTTTAATTTTTTTACATTGTAAATCTAGTCAAGAACTTTTTATTAAATGGTTTAAATTACTAAAAAAAAAAACATACTGTAAGCGTACGACTTGTTTGCGAGCCGGGTGCGCGGGGGGAGAGCGGTACCAATCTCCCACCACACAGCCAAAGTTTCTGTAGCATTGGTCGGACTACGCTTTCTAAAAACATTCGACTAGCGCTGTTCGCGTTGTTTTCCATTTTTGCGTACATTTTTTAGAATTTAAATTTGAATTTGATAAATACTAAGGGTTCTATATTATTGTTTTGTTACTGTAGTAGAGTATTTTATTTTTATATAACTTTTTTTTACTTATTTAAATGTACACCAAACGGTAAAATCATATTAGGCCTATATTCCAATTTAATCGTAAAGTTTGACTTTTTAGGTGTAAATGTTTAACTTTTATAGTTAGAGTTTATAGGCGATATCTTAAGATATAGATATAGATGTATGTAAAAACACATACAGATATACCTATAAACAGAAAACCATAAGGCTTAGTACATAAAATTATGGAAACTTTTGCTTATTTTTATATTATGTACAATAAATAACACCTTAAAATATCGGACGGGTTTTCCAAACACCCTTTAAAACGGTTAATGGCTTGCAGTTATTTATTTTATATCCCTAAGTTGATAAAACGAAAGTCGGTCTCTTAATGTTGTACGTAAAGTATTTTATGACACTATTTTATGACCGGAAGAGTATTGTATTCTATCGTGTTCTATCGACTGTCAGTTTATTGGACTGTGCTGTTTAGATGAGTAGTGCGGTTGAGTAATTATTGAGTGATTGTTAAGCCGTGGGTTAAAAAAGTGTCAGGCTAGGCTAACATAGATTAATATCATGGCAACCACCCGTAAAAAAGGGCAAACCATTCACAGAGAAGCGATGGAAATATTATAAGACCAACAGGTGCCATGTGTTGGTGTTACGCATCCGCTGCGAGTAGAAGTAGTATTAGTATAGACAACATTTTTAGGGCGACTAGTAGCAGATCGCCAAGCGCCGGGCAGTGGTGGGGGCCCCTCCTGGCTAAGGAGGCGGTAGAGGGGCCACGAGCAAACAAGTCGTGCGCTTACAGTACCTACTATTATTTTGATGTTCTGCCACTTTGCTCTGATTAAGTAGGAAATAAATGGGGCTCAGAGTTTTTTTTTGTATATGATGAGTTTGTTGATGCTATTAAGTTTAAAAGCTGTTGTGTGCATCTGATATATTAATTAAAAAATAGCGACCTCTTCTTAGGAGACACTATATATGGATCAGCTGAAGCCGATTAAAAAAAAACAACATAGGTGAATGAGCCAATCAGCAATCACAGAGTATTGGAATAATATTTTCTACCGTAATTTTTTTCTCATTGATACAACTATCATGGTAACTGTATGGTCACATCAACGTTACATAAAGCCACGTCTACATGAGGCCAGTAGGATGGCAGGTAACCTGCCTGTCAACACTGGCCTAGTGTAAACGTGGATTAAAAGACGCTACTTCCACAATGTCAATAATTTGCTCTTCCAGTTTGCCTTGGTTTAAAAACTATTTGTAATTCACAGAGTTCGGTAATTTAGAACAGTGCTCTCTGTCGGTGGCCTGGTTCAATTATAGTGAGCTAATTTTTAGGTCTAAGACTGGCAACAACTTAAATGGAAATAGAAACGTTTCACTTACTTTTGAGTAGCTCTTGAAGCTTTGCTACACTCTCGTTCACCATTTCTTCTGTTTCTCGCAGTTCTTGTTTGGCTTTTTCCAATACCATCTCCCCAGGTTGGTTCACTTCCACTTGCAGAACATAGGCACCACAAATGCCTTTCGGAATCTCTACTATGTCCGACAGCAGACTTCTGTGTTCTGTTAGCAGTTGTTATCAGAAAACTAGTTAACCATTACCTCAAGTAGTGGTGCTGACATAGTGGTTGTCCTACTATAGCAAACTGAAGTATTTTAAATCACGGTTGTGATTTTTAATTCTCTTTTTAGTATGTCAGCTCATATAATTTAATGTAAAATTATAGAGGGACTACCGGTACTACGGAATTATCGCTATCCTGCTTGTTAAATGGGTCAACACACATTGCGTCTGTCGGCTTGCAAGCCAACGCAACGAAATCGCTTGATGAGCGATTCACTGCAGACGTCTGTGCCCAAATGGTCCCACAAAAATATTTTTTTTTGTACTTCTCATTCTCACTTCCTACTTATCCAGTCTGGTTAAACTGATATCCGGTAAAAAGCTGTATGGATAAGATGGAGTCTACTGTAAGTGGAAGTAAGATACAATACTCTTAACCTTAAAATACCAGCCTTTGAAGCTAGGGATTAGCTGCTAGGATTTTTATGAGGACAAATTTTTTGCTTAGCCGTAAATTGCTATTTGGAAAAAAAATTATTGCTACTCTTAATAATTGAGTAAGTTAAGACTATTATAGTAGTTTACAAAGTTGTACCTTTACTAGTAGGATCCAAGAATTCCTTTACTATAACCCAACCTTCTTCTTTTGCACAATCTGGAGGTTCCTCTTCATCTGAAGGATTTATTTGATCTGAACTGTGTGTATTGTTTTTAATTTGAAGATCACGAGGTTCCCTTTTGTCTTGTAACGATTCCATTAGAGAATATTTTCTAAATTTGGAACAACATTTTTATCAGGCTGGGAAGTTTGATCAGGAAGCAAAGAGAAACTTAAAATTGAATGCACCTATTGTTGCAAATTTAAGTTTTGTGATCACCAATGGTGTAGTCATAAATTAACCAAGATTTGCAGCATTGCCACTTTTGTCACGCCGCAGCCTTGCTTTAGAGGTGGCCATGCCACTACACCACTGGTGATCTTACAATACTAAAAGCTAATCTCCTATAGTTATTTGTGTAACTAGTGGTGAAAGTGGCACTTTGCTGCACACGAGAGCAATGTTTACGCACGAGCCGCAGGCGAGTGTGGAATGATCTCGAGTGCAGCAAAGGCCTTTTTCACTCGTGTTACACATTATATTTTTCCTACATTCACTATAAAGCATATAAATAATTAGTCTTTCAAACACTATGCAACACGTTTTTAGGTTCAGCTGGCAACACAAATGGTGCCCTAGCCTAGAGAAAGTAGTAACCGCGGTCCGTATCACTCCGTTATTTTTCCTCGGCAAGAAATGTGCTCCGCGTTTTGAGAATATAGTTCCGTATGTTTTTGTAATTTGAAGTGGTTTCCGCGCCTAAAAAAAAATGCTTAAAAGGTATTTTCTTGTTTATTAAGATCGTAGGAAGGTTTTAAACACGTTTAAAAGAAAAGTCCAGAAAGTTCAGAAATACCGAAACTATAAACACGAAATGACAGGTTAAATCGTAGTTATAATAGTCAATCAGCTGCTCATAGTATAATTATCTTTAAGTGTTGCCAACCTATTTCCAAGCGTACACGGATTACGTGCATAATGGAACCACGCTGTTTTGTGTTGTTTCGTTGGAATCCTGATGTGCGGCAAAGTATAAACCGTACGGCAAAGTATAAATATGCAGCAATTAGCAGCTTTCTGTACTATAAACAGTACAAGGAAGCCAACTTTGTCGGGTGACTGTAGGAAAAAGTATTTTTTGTATAACTCAAAAACTGTACAATCAGCTGTTCAAATATTATGATTATTAATGTTATTGTTTACTTTGTATTTTTTTGCTTTTACTCTTACAATAATAATATTATAGTTCGGCCGCTTAGAAAACGACCTGTGCGCTAATGCTAAACCAATGCTGGAGGAGGTCGCTTTCTAAGCGGCCGAACTATAGTTGGGATTTATATTGTGAAAATTTATATTTTGAAAGACATAAAAATATTTTTATACCTTTTGCCTAAAGTAACACTGAAATTTGTAAGAAAAATTAGTAACAGTGGTATGGTTGTAAATTTTCTGGTGAGGGAACGCTCAGTTCGTGGAAAAATACAAGTTGCTTACCAATATATTGTAAATGTTTTTTTGGAAAAAGCCAAGTGGGAATGACGTTCCCTCACTACACCACTGAACGTGTAGGACTTTTTATGAGAAATGTCAAAAGAATCAATTAAGCCAATTCTACTTAATTTCCAAACCAAATTAACCTAACTCTAAACAAATTTATTTTAACGAATATGTAAATTGGCGATTCATCATCAACAAAATTAGTATGAAAACAATCTTGGGTTGACACAAGAGATTCAAATAAATGTTTATGACCATGAGTGAAAACGGAGAAGGGACAATTCATAAAAAAAACATATAAAGTAAGAAGAACAGTAATACAAGTTCTGAAACGTTAAAACAAAACATGGTTTAAAAATTCTTAGTAACGCTTACCACTTCATTAAACTTTTCACTAAGCAAATTCTGCCACACTCACATTCTAAGTATAGTACCCTAATATGTAAAAAGGCTTAATTTGAATGCACACCAATTACCAACTCAAGACAGAACATTGGAATGAGAAGGTAGGACAAGAAAATCAAACAAGAGAAAAGATAAGATCACATTGTCAATATATGCAGTTCTATTATTTACTCTTCTCAATAAATAATCAACTAGTTAGGTTGCTGGAACTTATTACAGTCTAGGTTGTAAATATAAACATTGTCTTCTTACTCTTATGTATAATATATGAATGGTATTTGATATTTAATTGGCTTGTTAAATATCTTTTTTTACTTTGCTTGGGTCGGTTTAAGTGAAAACCAAGCTGGACATATCAAATTTTATTTTCACTATGCATTTGAAATTATGTTACACCCTAACTCCTTGAGGAAGGGCAAAATAGATTGAAAAATGTTAGGTAAAAATATGTTACTCTTGGTCTATGATAAAAAAAAAACTTTTGTTTTAAATTAAAGGGATATTTCAATAATTTGATTACCTGGTTAAACAGTTCATACTCTTAATGATGATTTTATGTATTTTCCCAGTGGCAAGAACTAGAATATTTAATTTTTGACTTAATTACCTTAATGTAGAAGTAAATTTTAAGAACTATTTAAATTAAGAAACTTGAGTAAATTTTAGAATATTAAAGGCAACTTCTTTTGTTCACTAATAAATACTTGCAGGTATTATTTACAAAGTAAATTAAGAGGTGACTTTTTTACAATGTAGTAATAAAACGTGACACTTGTTAAAATGATTTATCATTTGGGAAAAAAACAACAACGAAATACCCAACAAAACCAAATAGGTTTATTTGTCTATTGCTATATAAAGCTATGGTTAAGAGATTGAAGTGAACGCATCAGACTGTACAACAGTCCAGCAGGTGCTACAGCAGTGTTACAAAAATAAACATAACAGACAACAATCTTAAAAAATCTACTGATTAATAAAATTCACGTTACAAAATCTCACATGATCCATACCTGATAACCTAGGACGACAAGTCACATACAAGCACAAAATTTAGTTTTCAAATGTGCAAGATTTTGAAATCACAAAGTCAGACTAGACGAAAACCACAACCAAATAAAAAGTGTCATGGAGGATTTACTGATAGAACCGAAAAGACTAGAAGTGCTTCAAAGACTATGGTCCCTTGCCCCTTAAGTATAAACTTTAGGAACTACAAGCTTCCGAAAGCTTTACCCTGCAGCCAGCTGACAAAGAGCTCCTTTCTAGCAATAATTGACAACCAAGTGATAGGTACAGCTGCTACTGTTTGGAACTACAAAACGAATCACCAACTCGGAAATTTTGAAACCTGCGATATATTACATTTACATTTTTCAAAGCCGTCTAGAGAGTAATACAGGTAATACTTAATACTACGATAACGATTCTATGTCGGTTATACATATACATGTAAGGCATTACAAAGTTAAGACTGCGAGAGCAATATTAAAATTTGTAATATGAGCTATAGCCTTTGGGCGTTTGTACATAAGAAGGCACTGAGCGAATCACGGCTGATTATGAGTTTTGAAATAGTTTTGACAGAAGCATGAGTTAAAAAAAGATGATAGTTTATTGATTATGGTTATAATAATACTGTAGTTTCATTTACAATATTTTTGTAACTGATAACTTTAAAACTTACACACTTATTTTCCTGTAATAATATAGAAAATACTTGCTGGACTATCAGTTTAAATACATTTTAATGAATCAATGTTCTTGATAAAATCTACATCATTAAAGAAAGTTTCCAAGAATTGCTTTAGATACAAAATAATAGAGCTCACACGTCTTAAGATGTTTTTGAATTTTTGTTGATTAGGATTATATAACAATTTATAGATATAACAAAAGGTTGGGATTAAAAGAAAGGTAGGGATAAAAAAAACATTAAAAATGTAAGAGTTTAAATTGAAGAGAATCCAAAAGGTTATTTCAGTTAGCACAATAAAATAATACAAAAATAAATTATTGGTAGACAAAAAAAACTACAAAATCAACAATAAATAAACATAACAAGATTAGTGAAGTAAATACACATTACACTTTTCAGATGTGAATTCCTATTTTAAAATAAACAATAAAAGTAAATATATGATTATACAAAAAAATACTTAACACTAATTAAAAAAGCATGCCTTGGCTTAAACAGCACCATAAAGTCGCTTACAGGTACCTTAAGACATACTTAAAAAAATGGTAACCACAAAATAAAAGTTTTAAAATGGCAGCTTATTTTGATCTCTGATCGACACCAGAACTCTGTAAGCTCAACATGCATAAGTACGAAAGAAACAAGTCTCAAAATAAGTACTTTGGTGTTCAAGAATAAAATATTACCACATGTATTTTAAAATAAGTACACAATATTTAGAACTTTAATTCAAGTTAAGTTTGAAAACAATATAGTAAAACTGGTTGGGGATTAAATGTTTATAAACATAAATGAATCAAAAAGAACACAATTGCCCAAGCTAACAATATTTCTATATCGGTTAGAACTTAACCTTAAATGTCTTTTGATAGTTCAGAGTTCTGATGTCATAGTAGTCAAACATAACCTCACTGACTCATTGATCAATATAACTACAGTATCGTGTTCACATGTTAAGTCGCATGTAAGCTAAGTAAAAATGAGGATTGTTCGTTGCTCTCCTGCTTGCTGTTACTTCCGCAAGGATTCTTGCCGCTTCAGCATTCTTCTTACTGAGAAAGGACTACTTGCATCAGCACACCTGCAAAACAACACAAATCTTACCTTGACAATTTATTTTATAGCTCAGTAGAACTCGTTTGGTTCCAATGATAATTTTATCCAGGGGTTGTCCAAAGATTGAAGAAAACTGTTTAAAAATATCCCAAAGGGACACTAAGTAATGAAAAAAGATGGCCTCGTCAATACCTACTGATATGTAAACCAAATGGCTAAAAACTGTAAAAGTAAAGGATAATATTTTGTCTTCTGATAAAATTCATTAAATGGCACCATTTAAAGCAAAATACTGTACCACTGATAAATTGAGGACAAGAAACACAGGTACTTTGGTATTATCCGGAGGCTACCCTCATACAGCGTGCTGCGGCGGTTATGTTAGGTTGGGTTATCATAAATATGTTTGAAGGACTTTCCTCATTTTGTTATGAACCAAACGATACCAGATGAGTCTCACTTCCATGTAGGTTAGGTCGTTGACCGGAGGGCGTACATAACCTGTCACCGCCTGTAACTGGGTCAGTGTCCTCCCTGAGTGATGACTCATCTGGTATCATTCGATTCATAACGGACCGAGGAAAGTCCTACAAACATATTTATGATAACTCAATCTAACATAACCGCCACAGCGTGCTTTATACCTACTTGGCGGAGTAAATGAGCCTGCTCATTTAGATTGCTCATTTTGTACTTGGCGGTGACACATTCAACTCAATCCTCGCCGACATCGCTGCCTTCTGGGAGGTAGAACTTAAAGGCCGCTAATTGTAATCGTGTCAAATTTATTACAGTTAGTCAATTTAAGTATGTTCTTTCCAATTATGTAGAAAATTTTTTGTCTCCGGTGAAAAAAACCCCTCTTAAATAAGTGGCCTCCGGATAATACCAAAGTACCGAAACACATTAAGGTGACAAATTATTCATCTAATAATGTTTTTAACTGCAAATTCATATTGCATGAATTTTTTCATTATAAAAGGTTTAGGAATCAGAACATTCAGAAAGCAAGGTTTGCACACAAAATAAAAGAACTGGCTCCAACAATTCTTTCTAAATAAATAAAAAATGTTTTGCTTTAATTTTAATTAAAGTAAATTTTATACTGTCAAGTAGGCTATCTAGAAAAAAATATGCCAAACTGAACCGAACATTTCTAATTACTAAACGAGAAAAACTAATAGGCTCTACATCAAAGTTGTTTGATGAATATTCAATCTCGTATTAAGCCAGATGAATGTTGGGACTCTTAATTCAATCATCAATGGATGAAAGTGGGGAATAGTGCAACCAAATTAAATTCTGAAATGTAAACCACTTTTCTGTTCTCTTACTTAAGTTTTTTATTAGTTATTACATTGAACGTCATCACACTGTTAGCTGCATGCTAAAGGCTTTAAATAAAATGAAAAATTATAAACTTAAATAAGTAAACTCAGTAAACACATCACATTAATGACAGAGTAATAAACTGAAATAAAACAATCACAAAAAACATACACAAGAGATGGTAAAACAAACAGTAAAATAATGTGCCATTCACTTTGTTACAAAATTAATACCCAAAATTAACATTAATAATTTCTCTTTGTAGCTAATTGGGATTAGACAAATCACTGCCTATTATATGTTTGCTTGGGCGCCCGCAAGGAGAGCCTGAGGAGAAAAATTTCAATTAAACATTAATAACTTTAGTAGTTTTTTGGACAGTTCGATGTGTAAAACAATTTTGCGTACCTTCTGTGCAATCATAGTTAAAGTTGCTAGTTAAATCATCAATATTATATGTTCTCGCAAGGAGAGCTTGAGGAGAAAAAATTCAATTAAAAATTAATAACTTTAGTAGTTTTTTGGACAGCTCGATGTGTAAAACAATTTTGCGTACCTTCTGTGCAATCATAGTTAAAGTTGCTAGTTAAATCATCAATATTATATGTTCTCGCAGGGAGAGCTTGAGGAGAAAAAATTCAATTAAAAATTAATAACTTTAGTAGTTTTTTGGACAGCTCGATGTGTAAAACAATTTTGCGTACCTTCTGTGCAATCATAGTTAAAGTTGCTAGTTAAATCATCAATAGTATATGTTCTCGCAGGGAGAGCCTGAGGAGAAAAAATTCAATTAAAAATTAATAACTTTAGTAGTTTTTTGGACAGCTCGATGTGTAAAACAATTTTGCGTACCTTCTGTGCAATCATAGTTAAAGTTGCTAGTTAAATCATCAATAGTATATGTTCTCGCAGGGAGAGCCTGAGGAGAAAAAATTCAATTAAAAATTAATAACTTTAGTAGTTTTTTGGACAGCTCGATGTGTAAAACAATTTTGCGTATCTTCTGTGCAATCATAATTAAAGTTGCTAGTTAAAGTATGCTAAGCATAGACGAAAGAAATATTATTTATAGTAACTGAATAGGAACCTCAGTTAAATAATACATATTGCTAAAAAAGTGACTGTTGAATGTTATAAAGTTATTAAAAAATAACTTTAGTGGCTTGTGCCTATTGTCAGTACATAGAAACACAGTCAAACAACAAAAAGAAGGAAGTATCATCTTTCTATCAAGGAAAGTGATAAGACAGTTTTTAATAAAACAATAATATTTCAAAGAGAGAAATATGTTTGCACCTACATTAATCTAAAAAATATGATATTTTTCATATTTACCCAAAAATATGAATTGCAGGTTCCTTTTTGATATTTGAGTAAGTGGTATTTTATAACATTGACAACAATATGAAACATGCATAACACAAGACTGACTACTGAACAATACAAACACAGAATATCCGTCTGTTTAAATATTGCTTACCCATTTATTCACTCAGCACAGGCAAAAGGGACCAGCAAAGAGAAAAAAAAATTAATACAAACATTTAACAAGATAACAATGATGAATACAAAGACAATAGACAGTTTGTAAAAACACTTTCTTTTCAACAGATCTTTAAGAATACGGTGTGTTAAGAAAAACATCTACAGTAGAACCCCTCATATCCGGCCACCACGGGACCAAGCCCCTGGCCGGATAACGATTTGGCCGGATAAACCAACCTACTATGAAAATGACAATTCATACCTAATAATAATAGGTAATCAATATATGCAATCAAAAGTATAATTTAATTCTGTTCTGGGATCATTTTTAGAAAAATAAACATGTCTGTAAAAAGGAAAAAAAAAATATTTGTAGGTTAAAGTCATTACTGTAAGTAATGAATGTACAAATATTATGATTCCAGGTAACAAAACATATTAAATGGAGGTAAAAATGACAATAAATTGTACTTAAAGATCATTAGGACTTAAATGGTACTTGCATTTCTACTCAACATTCTTAACCATTTTGTGAAATACAAAAATTATTGTACTCGTACTGTACTGTACTAAACCCACTTTGGAAATAATCAGCCAACTGATCAGAGGTTAGGCCTACTAGCTCAACTGAGTATACTGACTCAGCAAATAAATGTATAAACAAACAGATAAATAATGAGAACAATTTATTTTATGACGTGAGCAGTCACAAAGACTAGTGCTTGTATCTAAACGTCTGTAAGGTGTGAGAAAAAAATTTTGATATTGGCTTCCTGGAAGGGGCCGGATAAACAGAGGACCGGTAAAACCAAGGCCGGATATGAGGGGTTCTACTGTATACATGAGATACTTCAGTATTTCTAAAAAAAAACTAGACCTATTTCAAACATTGTTATATTATATCAAATTAACATACTTAACCAATTTATCAACTTTTCAATGTTCTATATGAAGTTTGCTATATCAACCAACCATTTAAAGACTGATATCCTCAAAAATGAGTTCTACAGCAAAACCCATCATAAACATTTACAATAGAATCCCGGTTAACCGAAATAAAGGAGGGAGAGCCGTTTCGGATGACAAATTTTTCAGTTAACACATCATATTCTAAAAATAGCCAATGTATTCCCACGGTGTGTAGAAAAAATGAATTTAAGGCAATGTCTATATAATCCAGTGTTTTATTTAAGCTGAAACAATGTTACAATGGGTTAAAAAAACATTTTAAACAAAACAACTGAAGTTAACTAAAGCATTTTAGAGCCCTGTATTATTTTATGGAACCATTTCGGTTTACCCAGATGAATTGGAAAATTAACAAGGCAACGGGAACTGACCGTCGTAATGTGAGTAGTTTGTCTGTCTTAGCCAACAGTGGAACAGACGGCAGACATGGGTCTCGTGCCTTAATATTGATTAAGTTAAATAAACCACCAATGATAGTTTTAAGTTATCAATTTTTCTTATACAGTTGTAGATTTTAAGATGAAAGCAAAATAAAATATCATAGAAAACTACTGTTGTAGATCTCTTTGTGTGGACATGGCCTTGTATTCCTACCATTATTTTAACTGAAAAAGTAGGCGTTTTTTAAACTACCATTTTGAAGAAGTACCTGAACTACCATTCAGGAAAATTTGATATCATTTAGGACTATTTGATATAATTTTTTTTTATTGCACAATGGTTGCCTGTAAATTACGGCCTACATCGAGTTCATGTCATAGCCAAGCAAGCAAGCTCAACTCTGAGACCAACGTTGTGTTCCTTAGGCCCCTATTACACGAGGTAGCCTGGCGACGTCGCCAGCGACCAAACTGGCTACTCAGCTTGTCAGGGGTCATTGATTCTTATGGATGTTATTACACGAGGGTAGCCAGCGACGCAGCCACACTTTGGCGACCGACTGGCTACCGAGCCCCGTCGCCACTGCGGTAGCCACTGGCTACCCATATTGGCGACGCTGCGTTGTAGCATATGAAGCTTATTACACTAGGTTGCCACTCGGTCAGTTCATATCACGGGGGTACCGGTACTTGCACACTGTTGTGTTGTGAGTGGGTGAATTGTTCACTTCAGTTGATAAAATGTCTACTTCTGATTCAGTCGAAGGGATACGCAAAGATATGAAGAAAAAAGAAGAACTTCCGAAAGGCGAACAAAAGAAAGAAGCAAATAAAAAGCAAGAAGAGCTCATGAAAAAGTGTCAGAAGATGGCCGACACAAAGTTGAACACTGAAGACTTTATTAGTGAAATCGAAAAACACCCTTATATTTGGAACTGTGCTGTAGAGGAGTATAGCAACAAACATGTGAAATTGAGGTGTAATACATCTTAGGGTGTAGTACATCGCCTCGGGTGTAATACATCTTCTCATTGCAGTATCAGTTCCAGTTATATCATCCTTTATGAGACCTAACAACTTGAAGAAACTGGATTGTGACATACGATTAATTGAAAAATGTTGTATTGTCCGCACAGAGCTCATCAAAAAGGGTGTAATATAACCCTTTTGATTCTCTTGCACTAAGCATTGGATGAACGTACATTTTTCTCTTCCTTTGCCTCCTTTTCTTCAGAAGTAACAGAAGGAGAAGATACTTATAATCACTCATTATTCACTGTAAACACCGCTCATAACAAGTACAAGTGCAAGACAAGCACTCACAACAACGGCGCCACGGCGGTAAAATTCTGGCTACTCAACTGGTTATAGGTTTGGTGGCCAGTGCGTCGCCAGCTACTGCCGCTGGCGACGTCGCCAGGCTACCTCGTGTAATAGGGGCCTTACTTCATCCACTATTTTTGTAGCCTGTACACACCCCTGTGGGACTATTAGTCTCACCTCAGTATTTGAAACGTCATGAAATGAAATGAATGAAAAAATGAATGAAATTAATGAAGTGAATGAATTGCATACTATGCTTAGATTTCTAAGGTCTTAACCCCCCTAGGAGTCAATAGCCACGGATATGATGAAAAGTGTTTGGACGTAGGAAATGTGTGCAAACGGGTGGAGTGAGTTTGGAGGTGGTTTATAACATTTAATAGTGTAGGCTAATTGCTGTCAGTCTCGCTTGGAGCAGTGACCAAAGTTAGAGAAAAATTTTCCTAAAATCATGGTGTGACTGAACATTTTTTTTCTTTTTATTTGCCCTAGGACACTAGGCATGAGCCCGGGATTGTTTTCACACTTCAGGCTAGACCTAGGGGTTGAGGCATTATTGCTTGGATAAAATCCATTGGTGATTTTGGAATCCGGGACCTCAGGGACCAAATACCTCCAAGAGTCTTGATAGGTGTGACTGAACAATAAAGATCGTAAAACAAATAGGGAACGTCTCTATAAGACTATCAAAGACTACTATCAACCCTGGAAGTACGAAATATGCTGATCAGCAAGCAAAGTTTCCTCAAATTCAATCACTGTATTCATGAAAACTAATGAATCCCCTGTCGCAACCATTGTAAAATGTGTAAATAAAAAATAAAATGGAAATGAAAAGTTGTTTATTTTAACAAGCAAAGCTATGGCCACTGTGTACTGCATTCTGTGACCTTACTAGGCCACTTAAGCATATTTTCTATATCAAACACTATTCTGCTACTCATCTGGCAACAGTAATCAACAGAGAGAGATAGATCCCTTCCTACCAGAAACCGCAGAGAAGTAAGATACAGAGGGTACAAGTTTATGGGACAACTGTGTGCTAGTATCAAACAAGGAAGATCCCTAACGACGATGGCCACACAGCATATTTGTACAGCAGTAGTAGCACACGGGGTATTCCTACCGCATGAGTGTTGTAGTACAAGATGGCAAGGGGGGAAAGGAGAGCGAAAGGAGACAGTGAATAGAATGTGCTCTAGACACCAGCGAATGGTGCTAGACACACTTAAGTGTACCATTGAATGTATCCTCTGTGTCTCTGTACGCAAACCTACAGAAACCGAATCATAGAACGTAATTCATAACAATTTATTTTATAACATTTTTGGATACTATAACGAGACTAACTGTCTGTCCCACAGGGCTAGGAACTGGCTAGAATAGTGTGTATGAATAAAGAACACTAAAACACAAACGAACGATATTTAGTTTATGACATCTATTGGTTGGTCTCTCATTTGAAAGACCTTGCTTGGCTGAGACGGGATCACAATGGACACCTTAACTTGAGGACACCCCTTGTAAATTTGTAATCAAACCCCTTTCTGACATTTACACATAGTGCAATGGTAATACTCACAGTTCTATACTCTGTATGTTGGAGCTAGGACATGTGTTGTCTGCCCTGATGTGGCAGTGTTTGTGACACTTCAACAGGCAGTCCCGGCACTCGTACCCTTGCTTTCCTAGGCGGCGGGGTAGGTTTTTCCGGCACACTTGGCACTGGGTCCCCCTTAAACACAAATCAATCAAATTAATTTAGTTTTCTTGGGTAAAAAGTTATTTGGTTTCAATTTTTATAAGTTTTTGAATAAACTCCGCTAAAGTTATTTACTACAATTTAAAATACTATGTAGAGTATGCAAGGTATACTGTACTTAGTTTTTATACAGTAATCTATAAAGTCTAAAAAATATTTTTTTGAAAAAAATAAATGCTATTTTGGTCTAAAAGTTCTCCGACATAGAATCATACTACAGTACTTATTGCAGATTAAGGAATTACCTAAACTTGCAATCTATCCATAGTTACCAATTACCAATACAATATTTATGGTTACTATGACAGTGTCCCTTTTTTGACAAATGAACATGGAAGTTTGGCAATAATATAATGTAAAAATAGTTGTTAAAATAATTTGTTTTAAGATAGCAACATAAAAATGTTGAGAATAACATCAACATCATAAATACAAAACAATTAGGAAATATATTCTGCAACTTTAATGACGGTAGGTCTTTTATAAAATCTTTGATAAAATCTAGGATGGGATTTATAGTTTTCATATATTCTTTGCTTTTTAAGTGAGGGTTTCTCCGCCTCTTTGAGTAAATATTTAATATATTGCCAAATCAATCAATCAAATACGTCCCATTGCGCAACTCGGGAAAGTTTTATTTTGCAAATCGATTGTTGCAAACAAATGTCCCATAACAAAGTTTTGAACACTGTGAAATTGCACAACAAAACTAAACTAGTGAAGCCCTTATGTACAGATACTCAGTAAAACAATAAAAGCACAATACAAATCCAGTTTTAGTGATAAAAGCAAGCGGCTCGGACTGAATAAAACTCCGAGTGAAAATTATTCTCATAACTGCACAAAACTTACCTTAGTGGTTGAATGGCGAGTTATAACAAAGAGCGGCAAAACTACTTTAATGCCTAACTTACCACAACTTATCGATCTATTTGTGACACAAACATTACAGAAATCAAATCAAGTAGTTGTGAATGAAATAAATGACTTTCTTTTACAGAGAAAAATAACTGTAAAAATTTCATACATTCTATTTCAATGAGCAGCTACGTTCACATCCATTAATTCTGTTTGTGTGAAATTCTAATTACGTAGTACTAAATATTGACTGATTCCAACATAAAAATATACTTAATAAACGTGTGGTAAAATAGTGTGTTAATGACAAAATACATATCCATGCTGTGTTATGCTGTGGATTACCAAACTAAGCTAAAAAGTATAATTTTTAGACAAAGTAGTCTACTAATATTTTTTTAATGAATTATAATTCTCTATTAACATTTTAAGAATTGTCTTGAGATTTTCCAAATAACAACTTCTTTTACTAATTACCTTAAATTTAGAAATCGGTTAATATCAGAAAAAAACTTTGTTTCAACAATTAAAATTTTATACAATAACACAATAGAAATCTTTATTTGGTATTCAAATACATACTCAATTAACATGTCTAATTAAAAAAATAGTTTAATAAAATTTCTGCCATATATAAGTGACATCACCTTAGCTAAACAATCACAACAGTTTAGTATTTACAAGTGAACATAAGAAACTTACCCAGGCAAATGTTTTGCAACAAATGTGTGGTCATTAAATATGTGAAGTTTTGTTCCTTTCTTTTTCCACTTGCTCTTCTGTGCAATTGACAAGGGAACTAAATAGTATCTGAAACAGAAAATTTGTTCTAAATTAGAGAAACAATCTTGATAACACAATATTTAGTTTAAGATACTGTACATGAACAAGTAATCAGTCTGTCCCATTTTAAATTCAAAGACTGTAACAAAACTAACTGCCTTCAGTGATAAAAAAAAAATTTATAGATGAACTTTGCTTAAAAAAACAAAAAAAAACAGTTAAGAGAAGATTTAAGCTACCGAGGATGGTTTTATTATATTTTTGCAATTGGGATAGATATTAAGAAGCTATTCCAACCTTTTAAAGAATCCCGTAATAAAATCCATCTATTTTTGGGAAACGAATAGGCTTCCATCTACTTAGATAAATTCATCTGTTATTAGTCATAAATGTTTTTGGGTGCCTAATAACGCTATATAAGGAGATAAACAAATTGTAAGTTCAATTTTACATATTGATAAACAAGTTTTCTCTAATTAAAATCTAGATATTTGCAAGCAACCTGTAAATATTGAATACAATCATTTAAGTCTTAGCACTTGTGCAAGTAAATAAAAATAACGATCATATTGTCTTAATTTTATTCAAGCTTATCACAAATGTTCGGGTGAAAAACATATTAATACGATAAATTGAGTTTAAAACAAAATGTGAGTAGAAGATTCATTTTAGAGCCTCTTTTCCTCAGTTTCAAATAGATTAAATTTAGTGCAGTTTTTTTACTAAGTTCTTAAAACATTAAGTTGATGTAATTACTTTTTGACTCCATTCTCGATGGTTTCCAAAACGAGGGTGGAAGCCTCATTGATGTAAGTCCTGTTTGAGGCTCCACTTATTCCGGACGCTTCACTCAACGAAGACCTCGCTGATCCTTCCCTGGGCGGTACTGATAAGTATGAACCTAAAACGATGAGAAAAAGAGTGATAACACACAACATTTACTTCACTAGGGTACTGATAAGTATGAACCTAAAATGATAAGAAAAATGAGTGATAAAACACAACTTGTACATCACTAGGGTACTGATAAGTATGAACCTAAAATGATAAGAAAAATTAGTGATAAAACACCACTTGTACATCACTAGGGTACTGATAAGTATGAACCTAAAATGGTAAGAACAAGAATGATAAAACACAGCTTGTAAATCACTAGGGTACTGATAAGTATGAACCTATAATGATGAAAAAGAGTGATAACACATATCTAGTACTTCACTAGCGTGCTAATAAGTATGTACATAAAATGATAAGAAAAAGAGGAGATAAAACACAACTTGTACTTGACTAGGGTACTGATAAGTATGAACCTATAATGATGAGAAAAATTAGTGATAAAACACAACTTGTACATCACTAGGGTACTGATAAGTATAAACCTAAAATGATAAGAAAAATGAGTGATAAAACACAACTTGTACATCACTAGGGTACTGATAAGTATTAACCTAAAATGATAAGAAAAATGAGTGATAAAACACAACTTGTACATCACTAGGGTACTGATAAGTATGAACCTAAAATGATAAGAAAAATGAGTGATAAAACACAACTTGTACATCACTAGGGTACTGATAAGTATGAACCTAAAATAATAAGAAAAATGAGTGATAAATCACAACTTGTACATCACTAGGGTACTGATAAGTATGAACCTAAAATGATAAGAAAAATGAGTGATAAAACACAACTTGTACATCACTAGGGTACTGATAAGTATGAACCTAAAATGATAAGAAAAATGAGTGATAAAACACAACTTGTACATCACTAGGGTACTGATAAGTATGAACCTAAAATGATAAGAAAAATGAGTGATAAAACACAACTTGTACATCACTAGGGTACTGAACCTAAAATGGTAAGAACAAGAACGATAAAACACAGCTTGTAAATCACTAGGGTACTGATAAGTATGATCATAAAATGGTAAGAACAAGAATCATAAAACACAACTTGTACATCACTAGGGTGAATTGAATGGACCAAACTGTTGGATGAACTCTGTGACATTTACACTTTCAACAAGGATGTTAAAACACCACTGTTTTAATGTGATACACTACAGAAACAGTTAAAGTCAAGATAATAATAATCACTGACCGTTAATAAAAAAGTTCAAAATACTTGTATGCAATTTATGAATAAAATATGTTTGGAATAACAAGAATTTTTTTACCTTTTAATTATATACAAGAATTATATTTCTGAAGAAGTTCATGGTGCTATGCATACTGCAACAGCCAAAAAATTGGTTATATATTTTGTTGGCTATTTGTTCCTAATGCTTTGAAGTATAAAACGAGAAAGTGTTATTATGTTAATAATACTTAAGTGATTTTTAAGTCATCATAAAAAAACCAAAAATCAAAAACCAAAGGAAATTGTATAAAATATAAAACAAGCTCAATTATATACAAAAGATATGTATAAAATCAATGAGGGTGAATCAAACAAGAAGATACACTAATATAAAACAAGGTGAATCTTAATAATAAACCAACATAAAGGATTATTGCAAAATACTTACCAAATAAAAGCGTTGAGATTAGAGCAAGGAGCAGCGTGAGAATAAAACAAACAAAACTACATTAGTAACTAGTACAAATCTACAGTCAAATGCATGAAACAAACTATTTATATAAACTATTAAGGTTGCAAATGTCTAATGTCTATTGGTGACAACTGTACATACTATTGGACCTACACAGACTTAAAGCTGGATGGTTTTGGTTATGAACAAAATAAATCATATCATCTAGTGAAATTTATTAGATGAAATCTATTTCACCTTAACATTAATCTTTTGCATTCATATAACAAAACTCACTAAATGCAATTGCTTCAAAATGTATTTTTGGGAATCTAAAAAGTAAAATGATCACACTGTACTAGTGAAATTTCAAATATCTACACTATAAAAATACTGTTTTTTTTGCTAAAATTCTTGCAGTAAATTCTCTCTAGTTTAGTTTATTATTTTATACTTTGGCTTATTTTACAACAGAAAAAACCTGTAGATTCCCTTGAATAAAAAAACCTTCAACAGCCTTGAACATTGTTAAAAATGGATCAATGCAGATAAAATGATAATAAACAACACTTTTTTGTTTTGTTCTTATTTCTATGAGATGAATGCTGAGTTTTGGGGACATTTTCAACTTGTTATGATACTTATCACAACACAGAACGATCAAGAGATATAATTATTGAGTTTTTTCTCATAGCTAAAATGTTTTTCATTAAATATGATAACAAACTCACAAGAACAGCTTTGATTTATAGTTGATGGTAAAATATTAACAGAAAAATAATTTTTAAATCCAAAGCTTAACCTAGAGGCCATTGGTAGGAATCAAAATAAAATCGTAACACATTAGTAAAGAATCAAAAGACAGCAATCCAAATTTTTAACAAATTTTAAACCTGTAGCCAACCAGTATTTTAATCCATTATTTACTTTAAGTTAAATCAACAAACGCACGGATAAAGATATAAAGTGAAAAAAATAAATAAGGCTAAGAAATATTCAGTTTGTAACAACTTTTCTTATATTTATCTGCTATTTGTTCAAATGTTAAACTATCATTCTTTATACCCCGGAAAGTCTGTTCACTTAATTTTTAATTAAAAACACTAAAATTAGAAATATTTTTGAGAAAATTAGGAATGCCAAAATAAACCAAATTTAGCGATCAAAATTCAAGAAAGCAGGTCTGAAACACAGATATTAAATAACTAAAAGCAACTAAATACCAAACAAAGGATTTCAACACTCAATGTTAGTTGTCAAGTGCAAGCAAAATTCGCTAAGTTCGCTAGCAAACTCACCAGTCGAGTGCGCTGATGGATCTCGAGCTCTATCAGCAGAGATCGACCGATTCAACGGGTTGGATTCTAACGACTCATCGTATTCTCCCTGCTCCATCGATTTTGAGCGCATTTTAGATCTACTCAGTCTTTTTCTTATAGTACCAAAAAAGTCTCTTTTTTTCCTACTTCTACCTCTCTCCACTGCAAAATCAAACCCGTCATTAGGAGAGAAAACATTCAATTCAACGTTGCAGCCTTTCGTTACTCTCCCCACCACGAAACGGTTTACGGGGAATCGGGGAGTGTTAAATCATGACTGTCATGCGATTTTTAGCTCTGAATTGATGACATCGGCTGTTAATCAATGAAAGATGATAAGTAAGTTGATGACATATGAATTTTGTTATTAAGTCTTGATTTGAGTTGAACCTTCGTTGTTAATGTAATGAAAATATTAGTCCCAAAACCAGACCCTGCGATTAATCTTGGAGAACCATTTGGTCTATGAAACTAATGATTGGATGTTAGGTGGGGAGAACATCGAAACACCCAAATGCTTTTATAACAAGTCATATTCACGATGGGCTATAATAGACACATTTCTAGTCAGTAATCTACCTTGATTTTCAGTCATTTTTGTTGGGCAGACTATGTTGGTAAGTGTAAAATGTGCAGCCAATTTAATCATTTTAGTATACTCCTGTTGGTGTAATCTCATTTTCATACATATTAAAACTAGTATAATTCACTTGGACAAACAATACCACAGCTTTCAATAAGTAAAAAAAACCCATTTATTTTAATTATGTTTGCAAAACTGCTGTACTATGTTTAACATGTTGTTATGAGATTATATTTAAAAAAGTAAATATAAAAGAAGGAAAGGAAAAAGTTTGACAAACATTCTTGCTACCAAGACTAAAATGTATGAATATGTAATAGGTAATATGAATATGTAGTATGTAAAGTGTCACCCGAAACTAGAAATCCCCAGACAACTCTACAGTTTATAAGACTGAAGACGGACAAAGGTACGTAACGTATTATTATATTATATAAAAAAGTTTACTAGAAATGTGTCTACTGCAAATAAATACATTTCTAGTGGAATGGCTACAAAATTTAACACTTTTATGGATTTTGATGGCCTCGTGAAAGTATAGACCTAGAGTGTAAGGTACGTACCTTCAGCTTGAGCTTCGGAGGGTTGAAGTGTGTGTGTGTGTTGTCCATGAGCTCCTGGCCCCATAGTTTCTCTCAAACCTTGCTGAAAAGATAACAGACCATACAACAAGAAAAGCTTTACAATTTTTAAGTTAATAACGTAAAGTGAACTTCTTTTTAGGTGAATCGATCCTTGTTAAATAAGATGATATCATTATTTATGTTACTTAGTCGGTATGGTTTAACGCGTTTTTTTTTCCTCAAAAAAGTTAGCAAATCTTTGCAATTCCTTGGAAAATTGAAAATGTTAATTTCTTGAACAGTTCAAAACTGTAGATTCTATATCCATTATTTAGGACATCAGAAAAATATCAACCACAAAGGTAAGTTTTTGGGAAAAAACAGAGGAAATCTAACAGCAAGAATATAGTGAAAAGAGAAATAAGAAATAGTTGTGCTGTACCGACTCACCCCTTGCTTTGCTGGATATGTTCCACGCACAGGTTAATTGCCTATGTGGACAGGCAAATGCAAGGTTAAAAGAGACCGCCTACCTTATATATATATAAAAAACTACTTTGAAACACGATATGTGGATTCACAACAAAAAGTCTATGTTTGAGGTGGAGGTTAGGTGAGAAGCGATATTTTGGTACATTAAGAAGATCTCTTAGACATTCAAAGAAAAAATAAAAGGACCAAATCACCAGAGAAAATGTATAAGAATAATTGTGAGTGTCAACAATTAAAGAAGTAACCAAAAGTAGAGGGCAAAAATTATTCCAACTATACTTGAGGTGGCCAAAAGTTTGCCCATTGAGTAGTGTTGAGTCATCAGTTAATTTTGTTAATTAAAGATTGACCATTTTTAGTCCTGCTTATTTCTTTATAGCCATATTTATGATATTTAGTATCATAATGTAGTTGATAGTTTTTAAATCTTGGCATCAACATTTTTAACAGACTTTCATTCGATTGTTAAGAAATCATATTTAAGCTAAGCAATGTAACACAAAACACGCTAAGGAAGGAAATAGCACTGAAAACCAAATAAATTACATCTAGGTAATGCCACTATTTCATAATAAAGAAATAGATCTTTTATATTTTGTTTTAAATATCAATACTTTAAATGTATTTCTTTGTCTCAACTACAATGTCATGTAATAAGACATTTTATTATTCACAACAGTAACTTACACAAGGTAAAACAATTGCATTACACATGACAATTTGTTTGTAAAATTATCGAGTGAAAATAATTAAATTTAATACCAGCTTCTTAACAACTTAACAAACTACCAATAATAATTAGAGCCAATTTTATCATGCTGTAAGTGCCGCTTTACCAATAAAACAGTTTGTCATAAATGCATAATTCTACATAACTACCACTCACAAATGCTATTAGTTTAAAAACTGCAGGTTTCAAAAGCTTCAAACAAAAACGTGCAAATGTTACATGCAGGAAAGTGAGAGTATTAAATGAAAATGATTGTCCATGTGAATGCATATATAAAAGGCCCTAATTATGGTGCATGTTGGTGAATATTTTACGGATAAATACAAAAAGTATATAAATACATTTATAACAACTACATTTTGCAATGATATTGTCACCAAACGCCAACATTTTTTTCTAGTTTGAGTGTTGTTACCAATTGAAGTTTTAAAAAAGGTGAAGTGTTCCCCATGAGACTTACGAATGATGAATAGGGCTCTGTCCTAAGCATAAATATTCATTTGGTATAGGGTATATTAATAGTAATCTTTACACAAAGTAGTTATTACTAAATTACATATTTACCAAGCACATAGGCTTTGTGAGATGAGTTACGAGAGAGTGCCACTGTTTTAGAATAAACAATTAAACATTTTTTCATGCGGGGAACAGTTTTGAGAATTTTTAACAATTAAAATGTGAAAAAAGTAATAAGGTGCAATTTTGAGTGTCCATTAATGTTTTGTTTTCTGATTTTGTTTTTGTCTGGGGAGCAATAAAATTAAAGAATGACAAAGTGGACTGTATTGCAATTATTTTTGAAAGATGCTTTGAACTAGGAAAGCCACAAGTTTAGGACGAAACAGAAGTAGTGTCTTGTCTATTCAAACAAACACTATAATCTATCACTTCGATAGATTTTAACTTTTAATCAACTACAAATTGATCATTGTGTGAAAGCTAGGGTTTTCAAACACAAAAAGGTCATTTACCCACCTGATTTTTGATTACTTGCTCACCTAAAATTGAAATTGCAGATTTTCTGTTAACAACTGGTAAAAAAATTACAAAGAGGGATTTCTAGAGAATAAAAATACACGTACGTCAAATGAGTTTTATTAGTGTTCATATTAGAAGTTGTTAAAACCCACACACTTTTAAAGTGTAAACCAAGATTTTTAATTTGTAGTTAGGATGAGATATCAGGGTCGTGCTGTGCTTAAGGAATTTTCGGAAAATATCCAATAAATATTAAAATATTCAACACGAGAAATACATTTAAATATTTTGTTGTTGTGTAAATCTAAAAAAAATTTAACTTTTTTGTTTGGTATTAAAAATAGTTGGGATTAAATACAGTTTATATGTTTTAATGCTTAGTTATTTTGAATATTCTTAATTTTTGGTAGTTACCATGAGTTTTTTCTAACTAAACAGATTACTAAAAAAGATAATTTATTAAAAACTAGAATTACATTTAACAGCTTCTCTATTAAGTTTTTTGCATAAAGAAATATAGACCCATACATAGTTTAAAATTTACACAAATTTGGACCTTTTGATAGTGTAAATGACGATTAATACCACATTTAAAATGCAATCCACAAATTTTCCTTCAACACAATCTAAAAATGTAAATGAAAATGTTGTTAATTATTACGTATATCCAGAAAATCGTTCTATGTCAATTTTGCTAAATCCAAATCCAAATATAAACCACACTAACTTCATTAACATTTCAATTTATTTACATGATGCACAAGATGTGAGATATTCAAAGCATGATACAGCTTAAAAGCTAATGGCAATCTCATGATTCCGGTTACAAACCTGTCTATTTCTATATCGATTAAACAGTTCATAATTCGGAGCAGTCTGGTCCTACAAGGAAAGTTAAATTTATTTTTTTTTTATAATAAACATGAACACACCTTATCTTATATCTGTAAACAAAAAAATATATAATAAATGATAGTGACTATAAAGGAGTTATACAGCTAAATCAGGGAATACCACCTCCATCTGAAAATAACCAAAACCCCCAGTGAAGATCATGCACAGCATAGCGAACCTTAGTGCTATACAACAAAAATAAATAAATCAATTTAAAAATCAAAGTTAAGGATACAAGAAAACAACTTTGAGAGAAATTTAAGAAAAGAAATGTATCTCTCTACTAAATAATCTGTGTTACAAGTATACACGGGTAAAACGTAAAAAAGTTTGTATGATTTTAGAACGAATCATTGTAAGTTATAACGATATAAGAATAACAGAATTTAAAAGCAAACATAAAAAATAAGTTTTCTAATCCAGTAAGGATATTTAGACATTTTAAATTAAAATTATATAATCGTGCTAAATTAAAAATTACAATCAAGAGTTTATTTCCATCTTTAATTTCTGACTAGTTGCACAATTCATTAGAAAAATAATTCTGCAGAAAATACAAATAAACACTAACACTTAACATCGAACATCCAAAGCGATTACCGAAGATGAAAACAATTCAAGACATGTGGAAGCAGAAGAACAGTATTTACAGCAAAATAAAAGAGTAAGATAAGTGCATTAGCGTCCCATAACCGTTGAATAGAGAAGTCGATACGCCAAATACCTGATCTTGATTACTGTTTTCTACTTCCAACCAACGTCCACCTTCGGTTTGTTCAACCTGTTAACAGGGTAGGTTCATCTATACAGTATACAGTCTAAGGTTAGGGGGTCATTTACTGAAAGTTAGTGTAGATATCACAGACAGTTCACTTGTAAGAAATACAGGGTCTAGAGAAAATAAAAAGCAGGTAAGATTCAGGGGCAAATATTATGAGTACTTTTTAGGTGAATATTTTTTCCGTGAAGTTGATAGTAATTTAGATAAAAGTATTTTTGTTTTATAGCTTAGTTTGCTAATTTAAGTTTCATTATGACAAAAAAATAAAGTTTATCACACGGGGAAAAAGTGCCTTTTCAACCCTCGCTCGTTTTCCAAACTCGACTTCGCCTCGGTTGAAGCTTGAGCTTGGATCTAAAAAAGTCACAATACGTCCTGGTGATGAAATATACTATTAAGGTTTGGGTTATACAGGGTGTCTCACGAGAGGTGTCTCAAATTGATTACGGAAAAACGGCTTAACGTACAAGAATGAAATAAAATTATTTCCCACTAAATCGACCCCGAGGAATAACGTAAAAATATTTTTAACTTTTTCCCAATACAGGGTGTGCCTGTCACACGCATACAATAAATAAATAACACGAAACGAATTACGAACATTTGGATAGGCCTATCACACGACGCGGACGGTCCCGGCGCAGGTAGTAGACTGCAGCGTCAGACTCCTTGTTCATTGTTGTCCACGTTATCAGCAGGACAAAGGTCAGGTGGTCGGTTACTTTGGTTTATTAAAACATTGAAGATGGAGTGTGAACGAAACTGTAGTTTTTCATTGAGGATATGTCCACTTACGGTGTTGTCATTGTATAATTTGTATATTTCAAATTCCTCAAGCGTGTTTAATTTACTACCTTTTCTACATACATGTAGCACCTCTAGACCGTCAGCAATCCCACTCATATTATGGTTTAGGTCAATCAAATGTTGGGCGAACGCTGAATTCTGTTTGATTGAATGAGGTTTGGGCCTGTGTTCATTGTAACGAGTAACGAACCCACGACCTGTTTGACCTATGTATTGGCTTGGACAATCTTGGCATTTGATTTTATAAACACCTGTCATTTCAATTTTCTCTCTTGTTTGGTCAGTCTGCGACAGGGTATTGCGAGTACGATTTGTGGTTTTGAATGTTAATTCTATTCCCTGCCTACGAAGCTCTTTGGACAGGCAATTTTGTAATGTGTGGGAAAATTCAACACAAACGTACTTCTTACGCTCGTCCAATTGTTTGACCTTCCCTTTGTGGTGTTTGGTTATAAGTTTGTCTACTAGCCTGCTGTTGTAGCCGTTAGATGTGGCTATATGTTTAATAATATTGTATTCTTTGTTGTAATTTGTGGGACTTAGAGGGACCGTTAGAAGTCTATGTACCATTGAGTTGAATGCTGCAATTTTTTGAGAGTGTGGGTGGTACGAGGTTGCATGAATGGTCTGGACTGAAAACGTGGGTTTCCTGTAGATTTTATAATCAAAACTATTGTTAATTTTAGTTATAGTTAAATCCAAAAAATTAATTGCGTTGTTCTCTTCCGTTTCCAAGGTGAACTTTAGCCTGGGAGCTATGTTGTTGAGATAATTTAATTGTAGATCTAATTGCCTTTTATTGCCATCAAACAAAACAATGGTGTCATCGACGTATCTATTGTATAGGACTATTTTTGAATGATATTTGTTTTTGTTTGATAAAATGTATTCATTTTCGATATGATTTAAATATATGTCAGATAGGATACCAGACAGTGGGGATCCCATGGCTAGACCAGGGTTTGACGTGGTTTAACACTTCATCAAATTGGGCCTTTAGTGTTAAACCCAAATAACATGCATTTGATAAAGGAAAATTAGGTTTTTTGTTATTTACGCAAAAACTAAAAGAGATACGAAGTAAGTGTAAATTACAAAGTTGTTAGGAATTAAAAAACCTATAAAATGATGTGCCACTTGACATATGTTGCTATTTGAAATTTTTGAAAAATGAGCATTTGCAAATCTTTAAAAATAATTTTATTTGGAATTTTTATAATTTCAAAAAAACGTTACTTGTAGCATATCAAAGTAAAGCTAATTTCATAACGAGTAAGAAAATTCAACCGGAGAAGGGATAAATGCATTGGTATAGGAAACACAGAGTATTAAAAAAATATAGATTAAAAAAAAACTGCCGCCATTTTGAAACGGAAAAAGATAACTTATTTCTGTTTTTGCCAAAATGTTTGCCCATCAAATACCTTTAAAATGATGTATAACATGACATATGTTTACATTTGAAAATTCCGAGATTCTAACTAGTGACCCTCAGTTTTTGACTCACCCTGTATTGGGAAAAAGTTAAAAATATTTTTAAGTTATTCCTTGGGGTCGATTTAGCGGGAAATAATTTTATTTCATCCTTGTACGTTAAGCCATTTTTCCATAATCAATTTGAGACACCTCTCGTGAGACATTCTGTATAAATAAGGAGTCTTGTTATCTACATAAGCCTATTGTAGAGACCAAGATACAATTTCAAATAAGAGAAGACAAATTCAGTGGAATAATGTTTTTACACAATAAGAGAGGGATAAAGATATGGCTTAGAGACAGAAATTTGAATGAGAGTAATGTCAAACATTTACTGAAATGTAGAGTGTATTTTCTATATTACACATCTTCAGTCCTGAATTTTAAAATCACAATTTCTCAATCTTACATTTAGACACTCTTCTTTGAGCATTGTAATGAAATGAAATGAAAAATGAAATGAAAAATCATTTATTTACACAGGCAAAGTTAGGGCCACATGGCCCTTTCTTACACTTAACCTGTGTATTGTACTTCAGCAACAAAAGTAAAGAATGAATAGCAGACATCTACGAATGGCATATAAGGTTGCGAACAGGAGTTGCATGAATGGAGATTAGGTTATAAATTATCTAGAGTGGTGATAAAATATTGTAGGTACAAATTAAGGATTGGCTACAGCTAATTTTTTTTAAAATTAGAATTTTTAAAATATATAAAATATTGTCAGGATTTACAGATAGCTCTGTGGAAATTGGGAATGGTTTTATTGGAACTACAGAAACATACTTATTACTAGATCTAACAAGGTTGAACTACGTCAAATACACATAACAACAACAATATTGAAATACAGAAGAAAAGAAACCTTATATTAACCCAGACATTAAGAGATTTAGAATATTTTAAGATGGACCTGATTTTACACAGATTTCGCCAAGTTTTATAAGTTGAATTTAGTCCTGAAAGTTGTAAGAGTAGTCAGGAAACTTTCTATCTTTTGGATCCATTTGGTTCAGACAGCCACAAGTGTAAGATAAGTAAACTTGCTGCACACCCCTTTGCCCTTAGCCGAAAACAAATGCTACAAACCATTAACAAAGATTTGGCGATTGTCAGGAAATAAACTTGAAGGATGGTAATTTGCCAGAATGATCTGCCAAGATAGTTTTAGTCTTTATAGTTGCAGTAGACTCTTTTTCAATATTCAAGTATTGCTAATGTTGGAACATGTCCATCCATTTCTGTGACGGGACCGTGCCATGGTCGGAACGGCCAAAAGGTTGCATATCTTGGGATCTCAGCAACACCTGTAACTGTCTCCCACAATTGTGGCAACACTCGTGAGCACATCTTGCAGTGTCATCTGTACCATCAGTATCATATTTGCGATTTGCGGAGGGTTAGTTTGATTCCTGGAGTTGTCTAAGATATTTCATAGTATCATAGTAATATAACATTTCTGGGGGATTCCCAGTTTTCCTGGAATTCCCAGAGGGTAGACACTATGTTTCAAGTCTGAAAGCAATCAGCTTTATCGCTCCAGATAGGAAACTGTCAAAAAAGTAAACGGCCGGACACTAGGTCTGATATCGCAAGAAGTCGGTTTGCTGAGATCAGATATGAGGGGTTCTACTGTACTTGTATAAAAAATCACACGTAAAAGACATTTTGTATTTGCATTTTTATGTGATTTGAAAAAAGTCAATCAGTAATAGTATACGTTATATAAAATATTTATATGCTATTCATTTGATAACACATACAGTTACCAAAAGTAGTGAAAGATTTTGAACCCCATGCTTGCCAGTGTCTACATGCAAAGAACAGTTGATTTGTCAGACCCATGTTATAAGAGTTAACACCATACCAGCAGATGCAGAAAAAATGGTGTATTACAGGCTTCCATCTATATTCTCAAATCAGTGTCTTGAATAATTAATCATGAAGTGAAACTTGTGTAATGATCATAATTTCGACATTTGCAGTTATTTTTTTATTTTTGCATAATTTAACATAGAACTCTAAAATATTTCATCAGCATTGATGTCTGTATTTACGTGTACTAGTAACCTTACAGTGACATATCATGTAATTGTGCATAAATAATTTTCAGCTGTGAAGTAAATTATTAGAAAAAGTGTTTGTTCCACTTCACAACTAAAACAACCTTCCCAGTTTTTCATTGCATTTTTGTAAATCATACTTTAAAAACACATCCTTTTCCCATAAAAATAAGAAGCATAATATTGCACTTATTTTATTACTAACACAAAAATAACAAACTTACCTTTAGAAGCTGTTTCTGGGGTTGCTAGAGATGAAGGCATCCAAAAAATAAAACACAAAAAATTAAAACAACGCAAAATGCAAGGTTCACTCTCAAAATCATACAGGGAAAGTTAGAAGGAAGTACAGTGATATAAGAGTTTATTTAAAAGATAAACTTGGAATTTTATTTATTTATGGAATTTAATCAAAGCTTTGGGAATATTAACAATAGGACATAAAAAAGTGCTCTGAAGTCTATAAAACTAATAAGGAAGAAGGAACATTTGTAAAATTATTAATAAAACAATACCCAATATTGAGTCAATAAAAACAGATAAAAAACTTATCACCAATCACAACACGACAAAAAGATTATATCACACATCAAAGAGAGATGTACATATTTTCTTAAACTTAAACAGAAACATATTTTTATTTTATCATTCAAACAATTTTCATTTGTAAATAATTAGTAAAACAGTTAATTACTTAAAAGATGAAAATCAAGAATTCAGTGAAGAATATGTTAATGACTAACAACTACTCATACCAGTATTGTTAAGGTTAAGTCATTCTGAATTTTAAAATGCAGGTAGGAATCTATGTCAATTCAGTTTCATGCAAGATATTTTTAAGACTGATTTTAATAATTTCAACAGTATGTACAAGTAAAATGTATACAATCAACACATACCCTAGTAAAACTTTTGAAAATATACTTTAACTAGTACCTTCTATAATATTAATAAATAATTACATAAGCTACAGAATTGATTTGAGTTGGTTCACACTTATAAAAAAATAACAAATTGTTATGAAAGATGGAAGAAAATATAATCAATATCAACAACATACAAAAGAATCAGTTTAGAGTAAACACAGGGAAAACCTGTGTAAGTAAATTAAGTTGATTAATTAACGTACTACCTTAATTTTTTGGCGCCTTTCTCCGACAATGTCAACTTTATGGTTATGCAAGAGAACGATCCAATAATTGAATATATGATTGAAATTTTTCATCGTAAATTTTTAAAAGCTCGTGAACACCTTAGGGATTGCGGACCACTCGGGGAACATTCTAACAAAAACACACTACTTGAGAACTCTAACAGCAGTCCTTGAGATGACTAGACTGCCAAAGTTGTATTTAACGCAGGGGAAATAACTATTAGCTACACAAATGCACTCACCCGCTGAACACTGTGGATTATTAAAGTGCTCTTGCTCGGCTGTGAGGGGGTGTTGTTGCGATTACGCAGCTCCAGGTCTCGAAGAGCCGAGTCTGTGACCTCGTCACCACCGTTGGCCAGGTGTTCTGTAAAATGAAGATAACATACATGGCAACCCCCTATATAGCTTGGTTGTTCATTCATAGCACCATAATTGTCTCAATGTGTAATAATGTGGACCTTAGTAAATAAGTTGAAAGAGTCATTTAGTTGAAAAGTGAATTAATAAAAGTTTAATAAATAAACAGCAACTAGTTAGCATACCTTAGAAGGAGGAAACTCACAATAATTTGTGTTCGTCCTTTTTAAGTGTAGGTAGACAAAGAGATTGTTGCTACCATTTTGTGAAGTATCATTGTCTACGTCTACAATTAAAAATTCCCCCAGGGGACGAAATTTTATGTTTTATGTGTGTTCTGTGAGTTCAATGGCCTTCCTGTACTACTTCTAGGGTAAGCTAGCTGCTATTCATTTATTTTACAAACTACCCCCCAGATCTAGAGCCTTTTCCTTGAACAACACTAATAAAATACAGTCAAAGAAATATTTTTGAATCATCATATCTAAACAACAAAAAATAGAGGTTTGGTTAAATAACATGAGTTTTATTTGAGGATAAAAAGGGAACAGTTATCAACCATAACTAATTGTTAAAAATACTGATTAGAAAATTTTACTGCTCATATTATCAACACATGTTACTACACGATTTGTTATGGCGGTTGCGCAAAGTATGGCAGTATGGGTGATTCCAAGATGGAGGTAGGTTACACGAACCAATACGCAAATTCCATAGAACTGAAATGCATAAAAAAAGTTAGAAATTTGTCTGACTCACCAGGGGATCCTCCCTGTTTGGCAAATACAGTTTTGGTGGTGGTGACGGGACGACCCGAGGGTGAAACGGACTTCAAAGTCTCCTTTAGCTTGAAGGGTTTGTCTCCGACCTGTGGTACGTCTGCTCCTTCTATGAAGAGGAACTGTAACAGCAAGGATATTAATCCATGAGGAAAAGACATTTGATATTAATCTCTAGCCTGAGCGATCCAACAACTTAACTTATAACTTAGTGAAGGATGTAACATAGAGCACAAGGGCCTACGTTTTTAGGATTTGTGAGGATAGGAGGCTTACCTGAAGGGGAAAGAGTGCAAACTGGTATAAGATACACACAACTTTACACTATACACAAAACATTCAAATATTTCACTGTCAGCGATAGATTGGACTCTTGAATCTTTCCCATTCAGGTAAGCTTGCTATCCTGACAACAAATCCTATTACTTATTAGTGAGTAATATAAAACCATAAAACACTGTTTTTAAGTTATCGTGATAAACAGTTTTCTTTTCAATCCTCCCTTTTCATGCTTCCTAACAACAAATTGATGTTAGATGCAAAAACATCCTTGTTTCCTTAAAATATCTTCTTCTATCTATATAAATAAAGTTGGAGTTTTGTCTCTACATTGCTCAGAATTATATATTTTTAGGTTATTTTTAAGTTTTATACATTAAAGAAGCAGAAACGAATGTTATCTCAATTTCTGTCTGTCTGTCTGTCTTTCTGTCTGTCTGTAACACTCAAGATGCCATTTTACGCTGTCTTCTCCTGGAAAACGAGAGTACCTATCAAGATCCAAGTCATTTTAATGTATTCACTGGATTGGCGAGAGTGTCTTTAGTCATTAAAATATGGCCTCACTACTTTGTAAATAAAATTACGGACGTTCAAAAATGCAGTTTTGTGCGATTATTGTCAAATTTTAGTTCAATTTTTATCACATAATCGTCTATGAAATAACGAACAGCTGTTCGGATCAAGATTATTTTTTCTAGCTTTCACTGATATGTTTACAAATACCGCAACCATTTCTAATCACGTTTTGAAAGCAAATCCCAACCAAGTGAGATTAAAAACGTTTTTCTTACATAACAGATTTAATTAATCGCAAGTGCAATATTATAGTGTAACCGTAAATGAAATTAAATAACTAGGCATCATCCAGGTCAGGAACCAGGAATTCTTTGTGTATAAAATTGTTCTTGAAGGTTTCAACTGACTACGATAATATCCCCGTGCGTAGAACGGGCACACAGCTAGTTGATTCTAAAGTATTCATCCTATCTAAATAGACCAAATATAGCCAATTTCATTAAAAATAACACAATTAAACGAGCTACTCACTTACTATACAAATAAAAAAATTTATTCTCATTATTTGTGTTTTTTATATCCGTATACATAAAATAAACACAATGGAACATCTCATACTATCTAAATAAAGTTTCCTTGTTTTTATGCAAAAAATAAATGGTGCGGATAAGCAGAAAAACGATGGATATATCCGCTGCCCGTCTTTGAAAATCTGGCTGTGACAAGAATAGGCAATAAATAGAGAGCAATATGTTATCACTATTTCATGCTGCTAGACAGACAACAACTGTAGCTTTAAGCGCCAACAAAGTCAACGTTGTGCTATGGGTGCAACATCATAGTGATGGGGGAAGCGCGGGAGAGGGCAGCCGGCAAGTCAATTTCAAGGTTGCGTTGGTTGCGGAGAACGTGGGGAAGTAGCGCCATGGTAGCCCGAGACATCTGGGTACTGCAAAAGCACCAGAAAGACAAGATACAGCAAGTCAGAAGATAAGGCGGATATATCCGTCTCCCGTCCGAAACATAATAACCCATATGCGGATATATCTGCCGCCCGTCCTTTATCGCCAAAGACATAGGCGGATATGCGTCATCCGTCCACGAAGGCTTACAATAAGGTGTTAAAGTTGGAATGATTCAAAAGTTGGCGTATACAACAGAAATCAGTAACTTACATCAGCCCTATGTGGCTCAATTACTGCATTAATTTTAATTATGAAACTGGCCACAATTATACCATAGGGATAGAATGTCTAGTATCCGTAGTCAATGAGACAACTCACCTCCAGCGTAAGCATGCCTGACACCTGATCTTCCTGATAAGGCCGCGACTGCAGAGAGATGGTTTGTCTTTGCGATGGATTGATCAGTAACTCTTCCACACCTACAATGGCCAATCCCAGGAACTTGTTTTGGCCGCCCGCGCGGTCGTACACTTCACACAGTATCTCCGATGTGTGGCCGGTAACATCACTGCAACAGACAGTGAACAACTAAACAATGCACTTAGGGGAATATATGAGTTTTGAATTAAATAAGATAGAAGTAAAATTAAAGTTTATTTAATTAAGACACAAAAAAAGTAAGGTACAGTAGAGTCCGGATAGTCCGAAATGGTTAGGAACAGGGACCCATTTCGGATTAACAAATATTTTGGATTAAAAGTTTTTTATTCTAATTTTTTAAATTTTTACAACTTTTATACCTATATATATTTTTTGTATTTTGTCCTAAGACGCTGGGCACGAGCCCGGGATTGTTTTTTACATTACTTTAGGCTAGACCTAGGGGTTGCAGCATTATCACTTCGATAAAATCCATTGGTGATTTGGCGGGATTGGAACCTGGGACGAAAATGAAAAATGTTTACTAAAAAAATGGCGAAATGTTTACTAAAATACTCTATACAACAAGTCTATCTCGCCCGGCCGCTACAGAATACTTCGACGAGGTACAGCTAACTGTCATTACACGACAGTGCTAGCAGTTTCGGCTTTTCCCAATGGGTGACAGCATGTACTGGGTCATCACTTTTTGTGTCTACAATAAACTGCATTAGTGTCGTCACACGACTGTGCTAGTATTTTCGACTTTCCCCGATAAGTGACGCACGTACTGGGTAAGAAATAATCGATAAAATATTTAAAAATGGACTTTTTTATTTTGGATTAAGCGGACCTTTGAATTATCGGGACTCCACTAAGTATAGTACGTTAATTCAACAATCTTGCTGTTGCAAAACTGTATAGTATTTCACTTACAGGAAAATATATAAAAAAATTCAACATTCAATTACAGTTTTATCAACCTCTATGGAAACAGTTAAGTTTAAAACAAGGTATTTTCATTGACAAAAACACACTAGAAATAATGCCAATACTAGAATCAACCAGCATTTGAAAATTGTAAAAAAAAACCAATTAGTTGAAAAAATCTAGATAATTGGAATTATGATACATAAATAATTTAATAATTTTAACACAGTTACGTTTCAAGAAAGTTTCCCATAACAGAATGGGAATATGAAGGATATCAGTATTAAATCTATGACTATCTATTGGGGCCACTTGGAGATAATTGGGATGACCCCTGTGTCAATCAAGCTGATTTTGACAATCAATGGCACCTTCTCGGGTCAAAGCTTGGCCTTCACGTGATTGGTTGATGATCTCACAGCATCGGCATTCCTGATAAACCAACTATCCAACTACCTCTTTCATGAGATGTGAAACGCAGTTAGTCATGTAAACATGTTGGAATTGGTAGTGAATTGTAAATGACATTTTCAACTAACTGTTAGCATGTATCCAGAGAAGTAGTGTTTAAAGATGCTCCAAAGTTAAAAGAGTAAATGATCTTTTAACAACTAGAGTATCAAAGCTATGTTTGAGTTGTTTGGGACCTAAAACTCGCACTAAAGACTCTAGATTTGAATCATCATCATGTAATGAGAAGCTAACACCATACAATGTTAATAAAGCCCTGACGACCCACATCATTTTTAACTAAATGTAATTATAATCAACAAAGAAAGAAATGTTTACCAAAATATTTCTACTCTATATTTATCATACAATAACTTGTCTTGGATGAAAGATTTGGTAAGGGATGAAAAAGTATCACAACATTTCTTGACACAATGCGCTGAAAGTGGCTTTTTTAAACACATATTACAGAACATTTGGAGTGAAGATTGTACAGTTTTCTCACACGTTTATATTTTTTATGTTTACGCCTAGACGTTCTAACTCATAATCAATAAAAAACTACAAGAAACATTAGTGCACTAGATGTGGTAAATAACTCTTCAGAGGCTGTTTGAAATTTACAAAACTAACTAAGCCTCTTATGGCAGGCAAATCCAAGATGGTCGTTAGCTTCCATCAAACATAACCCCCCCCCCACCCCTCCCCCCTTTGAAAACAATTCAAAACTACAAAGAAAATTCCCAATCCTACAGTGTCCTAGATATTTAAATTATAATCACTTTAGTGGTTTAGTGTTTGAAAAAATATTTTTGGATGATAAATAACTCTTCAGCAGCTTTTTGAAACCATCCAAGATGGCTGCTAACTCAGGTTTCAAACACCATCGATTCCTACAAACCAACGGATCAATGACATTTCTATACTCACAACAAGAAGTGCTCATCCCAAACTGGGTTGTCAGTGTCCTTCTTGAGGGAAGTTTGGTTCTTCTGGGGAGGCTCGTCCAGCTCTACGATGCAGAAGGGTTCTTGAACTCCTAGGCACAGAAACGCAAAATATTTATTTTTTACGATATTCTACATAATAATCAAACTGCTTTAAATCGGAAATACCTGACAGCAGAAGTCAACCTATTTTACGCGTTCAAAAAAACTCATATCAGATGATGATAGCAATGTTTCCTGGATCACAGGAAATGACAAAACATTTACCGCAATCTTGAACTAATTTTGCTCATTGTGTCACTGTGATGAATACGACAAAAACACTACATTTCTGACTGAGAAAAAAGTGTTAATTTACGTGTCAAATTTCCATTCTTGTTTTGAACAAATCATCATATTTCATAATTTAACAAATTACCTATTAAACAAATTTTTTTTAATACATTCATCCTTAATTTCAAATACATTTTAGTGCTGTATTTAAATTTGGATACAGTATTTAGAATATTTTCACTTATCAAAGCTTTTCCTAGAAACATACCTCTTTTACATCCAAGTCCGACGGCTTTGACAACTTTAACTAGCAGTCGTTTGTCTGCAGTTGAGCTGGAGTTCATGGAATGAGAGGAATTTAACTGAAACACATAATAAAATATTGATGTAGTTGAGTTATGGTGCTATGAAGCACAGTTCGTACAGAAGAGTCTTGCTAATTGGAACCACCCGTTTGGGAGCAAAAGGTTAGTTTTTTGCAAGTTTTTGGAAACTTGACCAGGGAACCGAGGAAACTTGTAGAACTTGGGAACCGAGGATGAACTTGAGGGAAACGAGGAAACCGGGAATCATAAGTAGATTTTTATCACCAGGAAATAGTCTGTGAATGGTAAGTATGTTAGTTTTACATGAAATCAGTGGTTTTTGAACAATCACCAATAGCCTATGGCTGAGAGTTATTATATCATAACAGCATTCCCGTTGGATCTTTTTTTTACGTTTTGGGTCAATCCATATCAAGTGATCCAGAAATAAAATAATTGGTTGCTTGACCATTTTTAAAATAAATAATAATTTTATCCTAGATACCTCTATCAATTCTGGGTTCAAAAGTGATTTTAATTTTTTTTTATCTCTTTTGTTACTTCTACGGCGGCCATTTTTGTTTTGCGGAACACGCAAATTTTTGCTCATGTAAGGGTTTGCGTTAACTTGCACAACTCGGTAACCATGAACACTAGAGTGATGAAACAAAAAGCATTTTAATCTGGAAGAAACAGCCTAAATATTATGTTCAGTACATATTTATTGAAATGTGTATCAAAAACAGTTTTAAACCCATCTCAACATTTCATAAGAAAACGGAAAAATTTCAACTTTTGAAGGCATATTACCATTGGTACGAATAAAATCTCAGACTTGATTTTTTTTTTTTTTGTGTGTAGCAACTCAGTAGAACGGTTTGTATTTCAAATATCAACCATGAGACTTAATTCCTTTAAAAGTTATCATTTTTCAAAAACTGAAATTTTTTGAAAAATTCAAATTTTGAGTCTCAATATCTTTGTTGGGACAAAGTTTAAAAATCTGAAATTTTTACCAAAAACCCCTCTTATGGTTGTTACACTGCTGTATGAATTTCATCTTTGAGATTTACTTTTAAGCTAAGTTGCAGTATCATGAAAATCACAAAAAACCCATAAGCTCGGCCAACGTGGCTAATTTGTACTTTGGGTACAATTAAGTTAAAAATCTGTTTTGGATTTTTCAAATGTACATTAAGATAAGTTTACATTAAATAAAATAATTACCTACACCTATAAATTAATCTTTAAGCTACCTACAGTACTAGCCACGTTGGCCGAGCTTATGGGTTTTTTGTGATTTTCATGATACTGCAACTTAGCTTAAAAGTAAATCTCAAAGATGAAATTCATACAGCAGTATAACAACCATAAGAGGGGTTTTTGGTAAAAATTTCAGATTTAAAAACTTTGTCCCAACAAAGATATTGAGACTCAAAATTTGAATTTTTAAAAAAATTTCAGTTTTTGAAAAATGATAACTTTTAAAGGAATTAAGTCTCATGGTTGATATTTGAAATACAAACCGTTCTACTGAGTTGCTACAGACACAAAAAAATCAAGTCTGAGATTTTATTTGTACCAATGGTAATATGCCTTCAAAAGTTGAAATTTTTCCGTTTTCTTATGAAATGTTGAGATGGGTTTAAAACTGTTTTTGATACACATTTCAATAAATATGTACAGAACATAATATTTATGCTGTTTCATCCAGATTAAAATGCTTTTTGTTTCATCACTCTAGTGTTCATGGTTACCGAGTTGTGCAAGTTAACGCAAACCCTTACATGAGCAAAAATTTGCATGTTCCGCAAAACAAAAATGGTCGCCGTAGGAGTAACAAAATAGATAAAAAAATTTTAAAATCACTTTTGAACCCAGAATTGATAAAGGTATCTAGGATAAAAATATTATTTATTTTAAAAATGGTCAAGCAACCCCTGTTGGATCACTTGATATGGATAGACCCTTTTAGTATAGTAAAATATTGCTATAATGGGAGATGACAAAGGGTGTTTCAGCAATGACGGTAGACAGTCACAGATGTTTCTGTGATCACAGAAAACAATATTTTAGGAAATGATCACACGATCACGGAAATTGGTTACGGTGTTGTCGTGATCATATCAATGATCAACATAAAGCCATTTTCATGCAGTCTTGCTGAATTTTCACCTAATCAAAAAAATTTGGTAATCCAAAACCGGTCTGGTCCCAATCAGTTCAGATTAGTCGGGCTCTGGTGATTAATAAGCTACCGAGTTGAAACTTGACAACAATTGATATATAACATAATTAATGATGGAACTTAAAAGGCATCACAGAAAGTAGGCAAAAGTGTTTGTGCAATGACCCAGATAATTTTTCACAAGGGTCTACTATTCTTGAAATTTAATTTTTATCATTTAACAATATCTGTGAGGTAGATAGCCATGCGTGTCTCTTAGCAGCTTTATCTTATGAATCAATTTCTCTCATTGAAAATAAATAACTGCACAGTATAAGAGGGTAAACTTAATAAAAGGATAAAACCAGATGTTTCCGATGGAAAGAGCCTGAAGCACAGTGCAACATGACAATAGATGTTTGTGAGATTAAACTTACAAGGGTTGTTCGTAAATTAAGCTTAAACAAGCTCCCGTTGTTTAAACACTTTTACTTTACTTTCTTCTTTTTCTCCTTCCTAACACTTTTCACCATTAACTGGCAATGAATTTCAATAGTTGAGACAGAACATAGTTCATACTAAAGCAAGTTCGTCAATTTTCCCTCATATCCTTTATTTTTAGCCTGTAATTCTTCTTGTTCCCACATCACGTCAGGCTGGATCTGGATGACGTGGTGACATTATCACATAGATAATATCCATTGTTGATTGGCTGAATTTGAACTGAGGACCTCAGGGACTGAAGTTCCGTGCTCTAACAGTTGGCCAGCTCGCCTCCCGTTCACATTCTTATTGGTGACTTTGACAATACTAATCATCGTAAAGGGCTGGAAACTGGCTAAAATAGTAGTAGATAAAGCAAGGAAGACTTTGCTTGTGTCAGATTTGAACTAGGTTACTTTAGTTATGACTGGAGCCTACTGGAGACATTAATTCCCAAACCCTTCTAAGCCCCACCCCTCTTTTAGGCCCAACGCACAAATGTACTCTTAAGCACCATTTATTAAAGTGGCTTTATAGACGATATTTGACTCACCAGACTGTCGTAATGTACAGGCAGCTGGTGTGCGGGGGGAGGAACGTATCTGCTCAGTCTGGGACACGTCGGGTACTGACTCAGGTTAAAGTGTACTTCTGTGTTCCTCAAAGCTGTGGTCACAATCTCCGTAATCACTTCTTGCAGCTGGCTTTCGTCCATGTTGTTCTTGATGGACCCGACTTGCGCCAAGGATACTTTGATCTGAAAAGAGTATTTGCATTGTGAACTAGTATGTATCCAAAAATCTACACACAGAATTAAGATAAGAAACATAAAATTAGCTATGTATTTAACTACACCAAAGACCATCTATGCATTACTGCATTAGATGTGATTTTAGTATCACAATAAAAACTAGACATTTAAATAATAAGCATCAACATCAACCCTCAGTCGTTGGGCTGTCAATTAACGATGCTTTCTAACGAAATGGCGATATTAGATACCCTGTCTCAGGAGGTAGCCAGGGGGTAAAACAGACAATGACTGGGCCAACCCTAAATACTTTTAGTCACACTTCATAAAATACACCACGAATGAAAATGTAATTAAAAAAAATTTTTAATATGCAGTATGAAAATACTGTATTCTAAGTTATCATTGGATAAACAACTGTTTATGTTCATCGGCCGAACTTACATAATGAAAGCTCAGAGTAATAAAGTATTTATTCTGAGATGAAAGTAGCTAAAATATTTTTCCATTTCCATAACATAACGAATTAGTATTTTTTTTCAAATTATTCGCTACATTTCCACTATTAAAGACACGAAGGGTCGGTCCAACTGTTACCTGGCCTACCCTCAAGTTGTAGCCCAATCCACTTAACCTAGACAGGGTACAACAAGATCAGCATTTGGATTATTCACTTGCAAAAAACAAAAAAAATCCATTGTCGCCATAATATTCAAGATAAAAAGGGGGAAATGCAACCATTTAAATTTTAAAATGTTATGCAATACCTCATTTCATTAAATGAGTCTACAATTATCGCAGAAGACTGAGAATCATTAGCAACAGTGGAAATACTAATGATCAGAGAACAAATGGCACAAATAATCAAACAATGCAAAGTTTAATATTAGCATGTAGCCGGACAAGTGTAAACAAACCACTGTGCTCGTGTGATCTCTCTTGGTTGGCAACTCAACAATGGCGCTTGGCCAGTGAAACATTCCACTCGTGTGTTTTGGCTGCGTTTGATAAAACTTCAAATTTTTCTCGATGTTTACGCCAAACCCTGGTGAATTATTTGACCCCCTATCTTGTCTGTCAAATACCTTTAAAGCTAGGAATTGAATTGAAGCCATAAACTTGTATTGCTCAGTAATAAATTTAGAGTTAACATTGCATCATTAAAATCTTTTTTTGGAGGACTTTTCTTAATTATGGAACGGTTATGCAAAAATATAGGCGATAGGTAACAGCAAAAAAATATATAAATAAATTGTGAATTATAAAATAATATTTGATACAAAAAAACCCTAATTTAAATCCATAGTGAAGTTGTTCAAAGTAAATGTACTTTGGTAGCTTCCCAAGCGTTTTTCTTCTAAAAACTTAAGAGCTACAGTAATTTATAGCAACTAGTACGTCAGATTTGTTTTCTTTAAAAATGTGGTTGTCCTGTTTTTAGATTAACGGAAACGTAAAGTAAAAAAATCCTTGTGATCTTTGAGCATAACTTGGTAAATGTTTTCTCAAAACTATACAGTATACATAATTTTAACACGTTCGCTGCTGCAATAGTACGAAATTTTTCATTCACATGGACCAGCAACGCACATATGCGACGGCCGCTTTCCACCCATAGACTGCCATCGCATATTTGCGTTGGGGTTCTAATGTTAAATACTTATAATATGTCTTTGTAACGGTCTATTTGAAGGCACTGAATTCCCTGCAGTGGTCTACAGAGATGTCTGACGCACAACTGCGTCGCTTGGTCTGTGGATATGATGATTGGTGACGTCATATGATAGTTGGAAAAACTGGTCTTTACTTTTCTGCATCACTGTATGTATGTATACAGTATGTATGCTGCATTATCCTGTGTAGCTTTTATATTTGTTCAGTTATAAACTGTTCTTGAATAATTTGTTTTCGTTTTACTTACTTTCACCTCAAAACACAAAAAAATGAACTGTCGCATATATGCGACGTTTAGTCTATTTCAAGAAAACTATGATAATTTTCACTAGCCTATTGTCTTCGCTGTAGACCGGGCGTCGCACATATGCGACATTACAAAAGGTAATAAAAAATACAAAAACCCAAGAATAAATGATTTACACACACGATTGTAGCGTGTTACAATGTAAATGATCAATGTTTTAAAGGTTTTCGCCCGTGGTCTGTGTGTACTGTTATCCAAGTGACAGCCGGTCTATGTGTAAGATTCAAATTTATACCTCGGTCTGTGGTAATGACCACGGCGTCGCATATATGCGACGCTCAGTAGCGAATATGTTAATAGTTAGGCTATTGGAAGTTTTTTACAGAGAATCTCTATTGAGAATGTCAAATTTTTACAACCATCCTTGTCAATCGCAGGGAAGTTGCCTCTCAATCTGTCAAACTGCACAAGTGAACAAACTCCACTCCAGTTAATCTTTTTGTATGCAGGCGGATTTAAGAAATATAACGTCCAAAATCAGGGTATTTGATACTAGTTGGTCACTAAAAGTAGCTATCTAAGTGTAAGATCTTTTTCATAAGGTTGTTAGGAAAACTCCCAACAACATTAAGACGTAAAACTTACGTCAGGCCATCCGTCACATTTTACGTCGGTCAACAACTTCTCAGTGACACAGAAGATGGAAAGGCGAGCTCGGAAACGGTTGACGTTGACTCGATAATGCGACACTTCCACTTTCTCGCCTTTCTGTCTGAACACCTTGAGTTGAAGAGCCGGAGTAGCTTCACAATCGCAAGTGATGGTCTGCAACAACCATTGTAAACTTTAGAAAGCTTACACAGCAAAGGATAGAGACATTTGGTCATTGACAACCCAGCAAAAAGCTTTAAAACATGCAAGAGTTTTATTGGTTAGCCAGTCATTTTTTATTTTATGTATGTTTTTGGTGGGGTACATCGAACATGGAGATTTTTACTTTTATATTTTTAGGTTAGAAGGAGTACTTAGAGCTTAAATTTAACTCTAAAATACCTGGTTACATAATTATAAGTTATCTGATTGCATGATATGGTTGGACTTTTTTTCTGGCTGTCCACAGCAGTGGTATTTTTACTGGAGGAATTAAAGGAGGAAGAACTTAAACGCTTTTAGGGAAAACGGTAAAAACCTTTGTTGTAGGTGTGGGAATCGAACCCCTACCTTCCAAACCAAAGTCCAAGACATTTTTTTTGCCCTTTGCTAGGCACGAGCCCGGGATTGTTTTTCACATTACTTCAAGCTAGACCTAGGGGTTGTGGCATTTCACTTAGATAAAATCCATTGGTGATTGGGCGGGATTTGAACCCAGGACCTCAGGGACCAAAGTCCCATGCTCTAACCACTAGACCAGCTCGCTCCCCCAAAAGCTTGATAGGTGTGACTGAACATTTTTTTTTCGTCCTAGGACGCTAGGCACGAGCCCGTAGTTTTTTTTTTCAAATTACTTCAGGCTAGATGTAGAGGTTACGGCATTATCACTTAGCTAAATCCATTGGTGATTTGGCGGGATTTGAACCCAGGACCTCAGGGACCGAAGTCCCATGCTCTAACCACTAGACCAGCTCGCTCCCCCAGAAGTCTTGATAGGTGTGACTGAACAATAGAGATTGTGAAACTAATAGGGGACGTCATTAACACAATCTTCCACGATAACCCACCCCAGACTAACTACCAGGATAGCAATGCCACAAAAATGTATCCAAACAACCATGAGTCTTGGTAAAAAACACTAAAAAATAATATTCACAAGATAACTGCATCAGATGTGGACAAAAAAATCAAATTTACTATAGTAAAGAAAATTAAAGAAATTAATCAAGAGAGTAAATAGAAATGTTGAAATTTTTTTTTAAACTGGAGATCTAGTAGGCTAGTTTAGTAAACCAACTAACCTTAAAAGTCTATTACTGTAATTCTATAGAAAAAACCTAAATCCTTCATGATTTTCAAAGAAAATCGGTACTCAACATTTTAAACACTCTAAGAGTTGCATCGACCCCCATATAATTATTATTAACAATTTTACAATTTTTTTTTTAAATTGTATTAACAATTTTAAATCATAATAAAGAAGAAACTCAGATTTTCATGAGCTGTAGGAACAATCAATATTGCTCCTCAATAATGCAAAGAACAAAGTTGATAGATAATTTTTTAAATATTGTTCCCTTAGTAGGCCTACTTTCTATTTGAGTATTGATAAGCTTATTTGCTGACTGATAACCTAATTTGAACTAGAAACTGTAATTTTTGAAAGTACAACAAAACTTTGTACTTTGTAGCATAGTCAGAACCTTTGACCGTACCTTTGTAAAAGGTGCAAATATAAATTTGTTATAAGTTTTTTTATTGATCCTAAAAGTATAGAAAAAAATTAAATTGAGGGAACTGAATTAAAACTAAAAAGCTTTGACAAAAAAATGTGCAGGGCAGAAGCGGAAAAAATTTTAAATTAAAATGCACTAATATTTAAGGTTTGGGACGGCACAATGCGACCAAGAAGAGAATTTGAGTAATTTATGTAGCTAAACTATGCAACACACAAACAAAACAAACAATATTAAAATAAGCAAAAGGAACCTCTACAGCTATCATTTTATCATATATTTTATTATATATCAAAACGAGTGCCTGTTTGTCATGTGCGGAACACACATTGTTGTTGTTTGTTGTTGTTGCCTTAGCGGTAGCAAAAATCTAATATTGGCATTTGACACTATTTTATTCAAACAACAAAAATTACTAGATTAATTAAAAACAAACAAAATACAACAATAGCTTGCCAACAACCCCCTGTCTACTCAGCTACAAGTCATTTGACGAATTAAATCGCATCAAGTAGTTACTAAAAAAAATCAACTCTTGTCATACATGTTAAAAGATCTATATTTATCTGGGGAGTGTACATTGTTATGCAATGTTACTTGTTCCTAGTTTATCACGAAGGTCACAGTTGACCTCATGGAGCATTCACTGACCCAGTGAAAGTGAGCACAGAAATATCCATGATATCAGTTGTGACTCAGTCTGCTTGTAAATATCTACCAAGATGCTGATTGTCAGTCTCATAAGCTGTGAGAAGCAACATCACTGAGATGTCTCACAAGCTTTGAGAAGCAAAACGCAGCAAACAGTTGATGTCATTAGTAATGTCATCAACAGAAATGGTTAAGGCAAAAAAAATGCAATAAAAATACATGTACGTGTCAAAATTCAAATTAAAAAAATTCAGTGATCTCAATGATATATTTGACAGTAAATCATGCCAAAACCGTCCAGTTTCTCTCAGTAAGGTTTTACTTGGTATCAAAATACTACTTGTATATAATTTCATCATTACTGAGACAGGGACACGGTGTGTATTCTAATCCAAGTATGAGTGAAGGATGAGTGTAGAATGGAGTGAGATGCATTGTGAAGCTTTTTGTTACTAAGATCAGCTGTTTACTACAAGCCCAATGATAAGGTCAGCTGAGCCCAATTTCAAACCATCAAAAACCTGCTGAATTACCTCAGGAACAAACTGGCGAGTTTTGACCTGATTTACTAAGCAAGCACAATAACCACTCAGCAACCTATCTAACTTAGACATAATTTCTGAATTGAATTGTTTTTAACACAACCAACTAGTGCAATGTTGATTAAAAGTCAGTAAAAATATTTTGCACACCTATCATAACATTTTTAATTTTAGTCGATAAAAATTTTCTTACACACCTCTTGATATCATAAATACTTAAATTAATACAAGTTCTGAATGAACTGTAAAGTTATTTTAAGACTTTAACAGAAACTTCTTCTTGTGGTAAGAGGAAAAGAGTTCCACGTAAACAACACGTTAACACTTTGGGAAACGCAAAATATTATTGTAGGTCAGCCAGATTAGAGCCAGGTTTGTTTCCCAGCAAACCAGAAGTGTAAATAAAAACAAGAAAGTAACACATTCATGGCATCCAAACATACTTTAAATAAACAAACAAGCACCTGTGCAAGTTGCAGCTTTCTGAACGTAATTCTAGCTTGTAGCCAATTTTCATTCTTTTGACTTGAAACTTGAAACATAGCTCAAAAATGGATGACAATGCAATATTATATCATTTAATTTTCATATTCCCCTTGGGCTACGCCCCATGGGCTTGTTTTTAATAGCTCGCTTTCCTACAAATGTTGATATCAATTTTAAACGAAGTCCCCGATGAGCTAGAGACTTGAAACATGAAACGTAGCTCAAAAATGGATGACAATGCAATATTATATCATTTAATTTTCATATTTCCCTTGGGCTTCGCCCCATGGGCTTGTTTTTATTAACTCGCTTTCTTGCAAATTTTGATACTTCCCGATGAGCTAGAGACTTGAAACTTGAAACAAAGCTCACAAATGGATGACAATGCAATATTATATCATTTAATTTTCATATTTTCCTTGGGCTACGCCCCATGGGCTTATTTTTAAAGCTTGCTTTCCTACAAATTTTGATGTCAATTTCAAACGAAGTTCCCGATGAGCTAGAGACTTGAAATTTGAAACATAGCTCACAAATGGATGACAATGCAATATTATATCATTTAATTTTCATATTTCCCTTGGTCTACGCCCCATGGGCTTCCAAATTTTCCATGTTTACATTTTGAAAGAATGTAAATAAATCAATTAATTTAAGTCAGCTGTAAATACTTAAATTTGACAGTTCGAAGAGCAGAGGTTAAGAAGTGCAGGATATGCTCCCAAAAGATTCTCTATACAGACAAACATTTCAAAATAAAGATAAACAATCAGATTGCAGATATAAAGGTGTTTGTTAATAATGTCAATTGTTATTTATTTAGTATTCTATAAAGTAAACAATAAATTAAATATATATTCAATCTAATACATAATTACATAAAAGAAACTCAAATAAACCTTAGATTTCTCTGTCTTAATCTGATATAGATGCTTGAAATAGATTTAACATCTACACACATTAAAAACTAAAAAGTAGAAAATAATTTATAAATAAAAACTTTTTTAAAACAAAACGTTTTTAAACACACTAAAAAGTAGAAAATATTTTATAAATATGTGGAGAGTAAAAATACTTGTAAGATTTAAAACGAAAAATGTGGGGTGCATGCAATTGATAATGATACATTAGATCAATGGGTGAAGGTAGTTGTAAGTTATCTATTGGATGCACCCCACATTTTTTATTTTAAATCTTACAAGTATTTATACTCTCCACATAGGTATTTATAAATTATTTTCTACTTTTTAGTGCGTTTAAAAACGTTTTGTTTTAAACAAATTATTTGTTTATAAATTATTTCAGGTAGAGGGGACAAACCGGTATCTTGTTCAAGGGTTTGGAGGAAAACACTCTCAATCATAATCAAAATCGAAGAGCAGAAACTATCTTCAAAAAACGTTTACAACATATGTAGCCAGTGGTGCTAAGGGCATTTTTATTGACTGCTTCTCCCTAAATCCAAACCATTCCCCCCTCCCATTTTTGACTCTATGTCATGAAAAAACACATGCTTAAAATTACACATGATTTAAAATTATTTAAATCAACTGCTGTTTTTAAATAAGTGTTTTAAATGTGAACTTAGTTACCGGTTTGTGTTTTTAACTAATTAAATTTAAATACTCTTTGAATATTTATTTATAAACTATAAATTGCATGTCCGTACAAAATTGACTTTTGTTTCGTACATTATTATAATTTTTATCACTGAGGTATTTTTACATTAACTTATTACATTTTTGGTAGAGGGAGTGGGATGTTGCCAATTTGTATAATTTTTCCTTTTCTCAATGTTGCCCAAAAACGCAAGTTTACATTTGAACACTGTGTTTCACAATGATACCAGTCATTCCATTGTTGAAATGGCAAGGTGAACTGCGCGGGAGGTTAAGGTACAGACGACTGGTGAGAGGAGCGGAAGATGAAAATAACCACCAGCTGAGAGTGAGAATAAGAAGAACATCTCCCTGTGGGTCATGCCAAGCTTCTGGGTCCAATAAACTGTGAGAATTAATTTCAGAATAACCAACTACATATGATGTTACAAATGCTATTTTTAACAGGAACTTCAACTACCATTTCCTGTTTTTTAAATCTGTTTTGTTAATTTAATAAAAAAAATAATAATTTGGCAGTAATTTTTGCTATTTTTGTCCAAATTGAAACGAAAGTACCCCCACTGCAGCAAACCTGCAGACTACGAAAATTTCCATTCGCCTGATTGGATTTTCTTTCAATTAAATCTATTTAAATAACATTAGGTTTAACTAGTACCTAGGTTTCCTAGTAGGCCTACAGGGAGGGTAAAAATAAGTGTTTTTTTGTAATATATTAATATCTTACTATAAAATGAATAAATTTGCCAAGTTTGATCGAAATATATCCATGAACAAACAAACTATATCATGTTTTTAGGGTAAAAAATTAGAAAAACCAATTTATACCCCATCAAACCCCCAATAAAAACTGTGTTCCCAAGGTCTATCATGCTGGTTCGCGAACTCAGACAAGAGTATCTTCTAGGGACATCAAAATGAAAAAGTGTAGTGGTCCCGGGTCTAGATCTTACTGTGCTGGTAGTGTGTTCACAATAATATGGTTTCCGTTAACACAATAGTGTTTTTTTAACTTTACTTGCAACAATAGAAAACAGTGTTAAGAGCGATAAAAATGTTGTGTTATATTTCAGAAAACGTATAGTGTTTGATACTTTAGCATTTTTAAATTCTATTGATACAAAATTTACAAAACATTTTGTCAAAACGCAAACAGTCAATATATAATATTTATCATATAATATTATAGACAATAGTCAATAATATATATTCATATAATCTTATTATGTAATTATGTGATAAATGATATTGTAAGTTTTTAGAGAATTACCTCATGAATAAGTAGTACTTTCGTGGTAGTAAGATCCGTCAATTACGCTCTATTCGGTAGATGGATAGATTGCAGTAAATTTATGTTGAACAACATAAACACAAGGCCAGAAATTAAAATGCATATTGTCAAAATATTTATTAGGCCTATTGACAAATGAAAGTCATAATTTTACTTTTTCCCCTAATAAAGTATGGTTATCGGGCACACTTTTGAGTTAAAGTTTTGGGTGAAAATACCCTCTGAACCCAAAAAGAAATTTTCAAAGTCATATCTGTGTGTGTCTGTGTGTGTTTGTGAGCAGAGCTACAGTCTACACCTGTGGTCTGATTTTGACGTAATTTGGTATGTGTGTACTAATCCATAGTATCTCCAGGCGTTTTTTTTTCATTTTTATTTTTAATGGTGATTTTTCCATAAAACCCTCTAGAATAAAATCTTATTTACAAAAATGGCTTGAAAAATTTTGATTCAAATTTAGTATGTCATGGTGTTTTAGGCAAATAATATTCAACTTCAAACAATCTTTTTACAAATCACAAATATTTTTTTTTCGCAATAAGAAGTTTAAGAAAATATTTAAATTACATTTGACATTTTTTTACAGTTAGGTACATTTATACATGCACATATTTGTCCAGGCTATTTATAATCAAAGACGATTATCGTTATAATAATTACTTTCTAGTCTCTTACAGGATTCAAGACTGTAAGTACCCACGGTATAATCGTTTACCAACTGTACCTTTTAGCCACACAATCAATTTATTTTCCTATGTTTACAATATGTTTACCAGAGACTAACTGGCTGGGGAGAGAATCAGTCAGAAAACTGGCAAACACACAACAGTGAAACTTGGCGGACGGCCCGTCACATAGCTCTGCAGCCGTTACGTTTCTATCTTTGTTGATGCATGTAACAATGCAGGTGCAATGGATTAAAACTTAAACCTCCAATTCAGCCATTTCTGTTACAAAAATCCCAAGTGAACTCCTACCGTACTGTACCAAAATAGCTATATTTGATAGTTATCTTTTTGAGGTTATCTAAAGATTTTGTTTCCTACTTTCTGTCAAGCCAAAGTCATTGAAAAGGTTTAAAAAACCAAACTCTTCCCCCAGAACAAAAACCTATACTAATGGAATATTAGTAAAACTGTATTAAATATACTAGGATAGTGTAAATTAGCACTGGTACATCAATAAAAATAAAAAGTCGACTTACGACATCGTCGTTGGAAGCACATTCGCAGAACATGTTGCTCAAGACGGGAGTTTGCGTTTCGCCCAGCACTCGCACAAACTCCACTCCGACTCCATGCTGAAAATATGCACAAAATATAACTTACAGTACAGTTTTCTTACTTCTTTAGGAAGTGAAAAAAAATTTATAAAAAATGTAATATGTTTTAAACACCAGTTCACAATTTTGACACTACATAAACTGATAAACATCATTAAGTTGCAAGAGAAATATAATCTTGTGAGTGCTCCAAAATGAACGTATTGGGGTTTTAATATTAGTTGTATAAAACTGTTATGAATTCAAGACACATCAAACATCAGATGAACTCAAGAGTTTATCCTAAGAGCTTATTGTTGCTCAAAAGCGAGCATAATTCATCAAACTGACACTCTTTATGATGTGAATGACCTTAGGTGAGACCTTCAAACATTGACCAGTCTCTGCAGGTATTTTTGCTATAACAGCTAATTCAATCACAGTTTCTTGATTCAGGAGGGCCAGTAGGGTAATTTCATACAAACAATTATTTACGAACCTCAAAGGTAAAGTTAATAGGATTAGCATCACTATTTACTTATGCCATAAAAACAAGTTTTGTTTTATAAGGTCCACCATGAAAAATCAAGCAATGGGATGCAGACATGATCAAACGATTAAGATATTTGTAATGCAGCAATCCTAAATTAGAAACTAAACCTTTCAAGTTTTCTTTTTGGTTCATTAGTTGTTAGATTTATAACTAAAATTTGAGTTTGTAATGAAGAGTCTTCATCGGTGGCGCGACCTTGAAAATAGTCCCATAAGAATAATGTTAAACTTGTGACCGCTTATCGCCTTCCCAGGTTGTCATAAAAATATAATTTTGGTGTCAAATTAAAGTCAGGGGCTATGACTGTTATCTAGGGAAATGCCTTTTTTTCAAACAAACTCTATTTTTTTAAATAACAATTAGGTATAAACTTAGCAAAAAGTGTTTAGTTTATAATTTGTTTACAGAAAATTAAGAGTTTATTTCAAAAATATAAAAAGGCATTTCCCTAGACAATAGTCATAGGCCCTACCTTTAATTTGGCAACAAAATTATATTTTTATGACGACCTGGGAAGGCGTTATGCGGTCACAAGTTTAACATTATGGGACTATCTTCAAGGTCGCGCCACGATTATTTTATATAGGGTTGTAATACTACAAGCTATCCTATTTAAAATAGGACAAAATAGTATTCAATTCACAAAAATGAAGAGTATTTTTTAGTCTTGGTACAACAAGGTTTCCAAGTGACCTCCACCTACTGATAAGAGTTGCCATGACTCAGCAGTTTAGTATACTGATGATTACAGGGAACTGGTTTTATAACCTTGTTCAACCTTCCATCTCAAAAGGCCGGATCCTACTTAGCAAGCTTAATTTGGTTCTCCCGTTCTCCAAAACATCCTACTTTTGCAATCTGGGTTTTAGCAATCTAAAGTTAGTTGAGTTATTGAATATCACAAGAATCGTCTTCATACTTTAACTACTGTAGTAATATAGGAACATCATTGATCAACATTTTTTTTTCAAATAGTGAAATGGTTAGAGCATATTATTGTAATATGTATAGCCTACACAAAAAACCTATGTAAGACAATAAATAACTGTCACCGATAAGACTAAAAGCTATTCTAAAAAAATTATTATACAACCTTGAATTTCTATAAAACCTTTTCTACCTTAAAGTTGATTGAAAATAATGTGAAAGATAAAAACAAACCTTTGGAAAAGGGATCATGAACTAAAATAAGTTAAGATTTAAAATAGACACATTTTAATGTTGAAATGTATGTAAAATTTAATAAGTTAGAAGTTACAGTTTTGATTTCAGTTAGTGAATCTTTCCTTCAGAATAGGATTACAGTAAGATACCTACAGTTATGACTGTTGGATTTAATTAATTTGCGAAGCGAGAGAAAGTTAAACTGGTGAAAAGTTTAAATTAATTTCCAGGTGAAAGTTCATGACCAAGACATAAAAGACTTTACCTATTTTGAAGAGTATGAAACAGTTTTTCAACAGGAGTTTGGTTGGGTTCAAAAATTGTAGAAGCTTTATTAAAATATTAGTACCTATAGGCTATATTCATGTTTTTCAATGGAAAAAATACCAAAAAACTTAAAATCCATCAAATTTTATTGAAAAAAAAGCAAGGGTTACACACCAATGATCAGAACACTACCATTTTGTTCAATCAATATCATCGCCTTAGAATAAATAATTTAATAGGCTAAATGTTTATAAAGTCTTCTATGCAATTAAAATTTAATTCAGCTACAAGCATAAAATGAAGAGACACAGACAATAAATTATTTACAAGTTGCCACAGCCACACCAATATAATTTCGCTACATTTTAGTTTGATTTTGACTGACTTGTATAACTTGGCAGTTATACTACCTCTTGGATTATTTTTTCTTCATATGAAAAATAAAAGTTTTATCACAACTATTATTTATACTCATACAATGTTTAACGGTAATAAGATGGAAAGTTTAGTAATGTGTAAAGGGAAAAGAAAATGCAGAAAAACAAGGAGCATCCGTTCTACATTTTGTTTTAATTAATTGGACTTTGTTTGAAATAGGCGCGCCTACAGTAAACTTAAAATCAACCAAAATTGAAAATAACTGGTTTAACCACATAACCAAGGTATAATGAGCATTTTAATAAGAACAGTAACTTACAGAAAAATAAAATTAGTTGTAAAACATACTGTGAGTAAGATGATTAAGTTTTTTTATTAGCATTTTTCCCATACAGGGAACAAGATATTACCATTGACTATATATTAGGTATATATAGTCAATGATATTACCATAAGTATCACAATATTAAGACCTATACCCAGGACCGATTTCATTGGTTGTTGTCCAAAGAGAACAAAAAAAAAATCACCCGTCCAAATTTATATATATATCCGATGCCTATAGTAAAAACTATACGATTTGAATGAAATGTTGTACAAACGTGTGAACCTACGTTTGTTTGTAAGAAATTCACAAACCAGCATGATCAGACAATGGGAACGGGGTTGTATGGGAGGGGGGTTATGGGGTACAAATTGGGTTTTCCCAACTTTTATCTCCAAAACATAACATTTTACAGTTTCTTTCCAAACTATTTGTTAGAGCTTAAAAACAAATAATTCTGAAAATTTTTCCATTGTTGTATGCCTAACGGTTAGGCCTACAGAGAAAATTAAAAAAAGTGTAAATTAAAATTTCCATGTTATTTTTATGGAGAATAAATAAACTATTCTAATTTGCTTTTTTATGGATATATTTTGATCAAATTTGGTAAATTTGTTTATTGAATACTAAGCTATCAACATTTCAATCAAACTACACTTTACCTTCACTCTAGCAGCAAACCTAAGCACTCATTACAGTCAACTAATGTTATTTAAATGGGATATTAAATCTGAAAATTGTATTAAAGAATATTTTAGTATAAATACAGCTAAGTACTGTAAATGAAAATCTGTGCTTAGTCTGCAAGTTTGCTGTGGCAGCGGGTGCTTTATTATTGTTACTGAATAATGTTACTAATTAGGTAGGTAGCATCTTACATCTCGACATTTTGAAATCATAAAACACAACAATTTAAAGAATTTTCATAAATTTTCAATCTCTTTTACAAAATTATTTAAGAAAACATTATGTCTTACTTCAATCTTTCTCTTGACTAACTGATACGAAGTTTATTCATATAAAAATGATGTGAAGATATAATCTTAAAAAAAAAACTAACTTTTCGACTAATAATGAAACATTCATTAGGTATCCATATGTTCATGGAACTCACAGTATGATGTGTCAACATGAATAAAATGTTGACTAAACCTTACAAAAATATACTCCAAAGTCTACTGGTATTGCAATTGACCCAATTCAGTTTGAATAATACTTATTACGAAACTAAGTTAGTGTCTTCAGTAATACCACAAAAATAGATGTTGGTAATCATCTTTGGTCACCACTTATCATGCCCAGTAAGAGATTTACGGTATTAAATTTGTTGATGACAGTATTAACCTTGTAACAGACATTTAAACAGTTTAATGAGTATGCATGACTTAACTTAATGCCTCTAAGGCGACATTCTCTTGTAACCTTACTGCGCCTACCTACAGGAGGATTATTCAGACTGTGCCAGAGATATATTCATTAAAATATAAATAGTATATAAATAAAAAATAAACTGAGAGCAAACTGACACATAGGTACTTTCTACCATTAAAAATTGCAATTAGGTACCTAACTTACTTTTGAACAGCAACTTTTATGGAATTGGGTTTGTATCGTTTTCTTTAGAGGTAAAAGGGCAACACTAAATTTTAATTAAAATCAATCAAGCTGTTTTTGTAAAAATCATATTTTTCCATTATCGGATGATTTACAAAAAACCCATTAAAATTCAAAATAAATAAGAATGCCTTGCTCGATATACCATAGAGTAGTTTACCCACATAACAGATCTCATCAAAATCGGACCATAGGTCTTTATTTTAAATCTTAATACCATGTCCACCCATACACACACCTAGGGTAATTATAATTTTAACACTAGAAAGATGTAGCAAAATATGGGTGGATTTAGTAACTGAGATAAAATTATTCTTTAAGCGTGAATATTGCTCAACATACTACCGTAAACAGGTTTGTTGGTTGTGTGAGTAAGCATGTTTGATCAGGTGTGAAGAACAACAGCTAAGATGTTTGACAAGCGAAGAGAAAATATTACGACAATTAAGACATATAAGTTTGACAACCATGGAAAACGCACATCAAAAGCTCAGTAACTTATGAAGTCTAGAACCGATTTCTATGCCTTTAATAGCTCACAATCTCCCTTTATAACTGGGGTTGAAAAAATCTGGAAATCCTTCATTCAAAAGTTGTCAAAAAAATAAAAAATAGAGAAAATTTTCATTTGAAAAGACGTAGAGCGATGAAACTCTGGGATCACATGCTCAATGTTAGTGACATTAGCCTGCAGTAATCTTACCCTAAAGATTTTTCTGAAAGGAGAATTTTTTTGTTCTCCTGTACGTAAGAAGTCTCAATTGTCATATGTGTTATAGGTAACTTAGTCAAATTAACCCTACATGGATGTCTTTGTTTTAAAAAACACAAAAGGCTGCCTAACAAAACCCCATTTGGTTAAGAAATTATTCAATTATAAAAATATAAACTAGTGTATTAATATATACACTGTGTATATTTTGATATAAATGAGTGTCTTATTGCAATTATTTTAAAACTAGTAAAAAACCCATTTTTTTACCCAAGCTAAATTAGAATTTATTCAAATTTGAAAATTATTTCTTATGCTAGGCCTATATTATTAATTTAAACTAGATTCCAAGAACTAGGCTACAGTACATTTTATCCGAACAACTTAATAACAGTTGAAGTTTAGCAATGGTGGAAAGTTTAGAAAAAGCCAAAGTAGCATTTATAAAAAAACTTATGGCATTTTTATCAATTAACAATTAAAAACCTAAAAGGTCTGTATGCCGATGCTAACAGGCCTGTTTGTGACGATGAATTTTTGTGTGTTTTCTTTTTACTGTACCGTACGGCAAGTCTATATGACTACCTAATTCCTTTGAAAGTATATCATACTAATTTTAGAAGTGATATACTGTAGCCTAGCCTACTTAAATAAAAAATTAACGTTTTTGTAGCTAAATACGAGCTAAATATATTACAATTCAAAAAACAACGCTAGGAGTCACATATCCTGTGCTACTAAAACCTCATGAAACATAAGTTATTTTTTTAAGAAGATAAAGACATATTTTTAGTCGTGCAATTTAATACCATTTTTGGCTTACACAACGCCTAAAGAGGCTTCCAAGGTCAAAGAAAAATGGATCATCAAATCTTTTAGTAGGACCAAACATTGCAAAGCTTATGCCAAGTTTTGAGTGTGTTTCCAAAAAAACAATAGGGATAACATCCTGTAAGTTAAGTTTACCAGCCTTATGAAGGCATATTGTTCCGGCTCAGTCAAGCCTTCCTAATGAAGTTAGAAGTTTGCATACAATGGGGCTTGGTGGGTTTAAATTTGATTTTAAAAGACTATCAAGATGAGGTCTCGTCCTGGTTCAAGATAGAGTGAGCAAAATAAATCAAGCCTTTCAAAATTACTAACGTCTACTAAAGGATTACCCTAAATGCTTGGAAGTAAAACGTTACTTGCAAATTTTGAACAACATTTAGAGTTGAAAAGCCTATCTACAGTTATAGTAGAAGTTATTTCAAGTACGGTAGTAACTTACGTCCTATTTTCCTTTTGAGAGGAAGAGGATACTGTACTACCAACCAAATTACACCTTCGATAACAAATGTTTGGACCGTTTGTTAGTTTGGAATGTCTGCCAGAAGAAGGAAGTTCCCAGATACAGTCAAGTGTGATTAGCACGTTAAAAGAGGTTAGATAACATCTTCAATTTAATCATTAAATTAAAATACGTAGCCTACTAGTTTACATAAACATTGAACATGGTTTGTCTCTCACTGCCTTTAACCATTTAGAGAGGATATATCAATTAGAAGTTAGTTTTGTGATCCCAAGAATTAGGCCTTTTTTGCAATAAGCCTAAGAGGGATTAAGTTTTATTCCTAAATCTACTACAGTAGAATCAAACCTCGCCACATCCAATCAAAAACTCGTTCGTTAAAGTGGCAAAAAACTGTTTAACTGACTGACCCACCACAGCACAGAAACATACTTTTTTCACCAAATATTCCTGAATTTTAACAAGTCACAAATAGGCCTAATGACAACATAACAACCATATAATCTTTTTTTTTTAAGAAAAGTAGGTTAGGCTATTTGAAATTTGGATTTGGCAGGTTTTGTTACTAGGCCTAATGGATTTGAGGGTTTTGAAACTTAACTTAAATGAATATAACTGTTTTAATTTTTGTAAAACTAACAGGGTTATAGCATAGATTTTAAAGCACTCCCTTACAAAGGTGTAACTTAAAGGTGTTCAAATAAACTGTTTTAAATAGCCAAATGACAATATTAGGCTTACAGAAAATGTTTTTAAATAAGTAAGTTAAACACTTGCTCAGCCACATGACCGAAACGGGCGTTCTCATTGGCTGCAAACGGATGTGGCGGATATAGAAACCAAAGATGACGAAAACCGCGTTGGATCTGGAGGGTTTAGTTAAAAAGTATTAGTTTATTTGAATTGGAGTGTTTGAAACTATGACTAGGGGAGGGTGTCTACTTCAATATGGATAAAAAGTGGATTTGGCTAAGGTTTATACTAGGCACCTCATTTGTCAATTTATTAAGTTGTTAGGCCTATAGCCTAGTGACGGAGTAAGTAAAGAAAACAAACTGCAATCGTGATTTGAGTTAGGCTACTGCCACACTAGGCAAAATGTTTTGGTTTGCAGCTTGGTTGGAGGAAGAATAAACTGTTACCATTTCGGGAGTCAATGAGTACGGTAGGCCTAACTAATAAATAAATAAATAGCCTAAATGATACGTGACTAAGCAAGGAGGGGGCCATAAGCGACTTCTAAGTTATCTAAAAAAGAAGAGGAAACGCAGATATTGAGTGAGTTCCCTGAAACATTCTTTTATCACACCCTATAATTTTTTACGAATGATGTACGGTACTTATTTATTAACTTAGTATTTTTTGATTAGCTAGCTTTGATAAGCAAATTAAGTTACATCGAAGACGACTTTGTGAAAAAATATCAAAAAAGAAAGAGTAGGCTAGAATCGATTTTGATTCATTGCACCAGAAGAGGAGAAACTTAACCCTCTTCAAGATCACATCTCATATTACTTACTTACTTGATACTTGATACTTGTTAATATCCCACTGGAAGCGTATCTACGCCGTGGTCGTCAATGTATTATATTTACTCTTCATTTCTCTTATTCAGTTACTCTTCCAGGAATTCTTTTACATTATATATTTTCTTCTCTACCAGGTACATTTTTAATTTTTTCTTGAGGCCATTTTGATCTTCATTTTTTAAATTTTGAGGTAAACTATTGTATAATTTTATGCACATGTGATAGGGACTTTTTTTAACTAATGTTGTTCTTACTTGTTGTACATGTAGATTTTGTGCTTGTCTGGTGTTATAGTTGTGAATACTATTGTTGTTGGTAAAACATTCAGGTTTGGCTTTAACGGTAACGGCACATTCCAGAATATAAACTGCTGGTAGAGTTAAAATGCCAAGTTCCTTGAAGGTATCTCGGCAGGAGTCCCGACCTCTCATTTTACAGATGGATCTTACTGCTCGTTTTTGTAAGGCCAGGCGCACACAGGCGATTTTGAGTCGCGCAACAGTTGCCCGACTAAAATGTTCAACATTGTTTTAAATTGGAGTGCGCACACGAAGGAAACAGTCTGGGGACAGTCGCGCAACTGTTGCAACCGATGTTCCCGGACCCAATTTGCCAGCGACTGCTCTGCGACTCAATTGTTGCGGGACTGTCGCTCCAGGTTTGGTGTCCATTGAAACAAGTGTAGATGCGCACACATGCAACTAAATAGTCGCTGTGTCGCTCAGTCTCACCCCAGGAGTTCAACTACTCGTGGCCAGAACTGTCAAAGTAGTGTTTGCTCTCTTGTTGTGTGAAGTTTTTAGAAAATTACAAGTATGAGTGTGCGTGATGAGGATGTCGAACAATTAATTGATGAAGTTGAGAAGAGGCCGACTATATTTAAAGTCATTAAAACTGTCCTTTCACAAGTCGCTCACTATATATGGGATGAACCCGGTATCTTCTCTTTTTCTTTCGCGCGCGAAACTTCAGCAACAAAGCACATACTACGGCTGTATCATTGAAATCCATTCGGAACGCTGTACCGTAATGAATGTATTTCCAACACGTCTCAAGACTAGATCCGCGACTAAAAAGTTGCCTGTGTGCGCACTCCAGCTCAACTGTCGCTAGACTTCAGAGTCTCCGAGAGAGTTGCGCAACAGTCCCCCGATTAGTCGGGCAACTGTTGCGCAACTCAAAATCGCCTGTGTGCGCCTGGCCTAACATAAAGATTCTTTGAGCTTCAGTGCTGTTTCCCCATAGTATTATGCCATAGGCCATTACACTATGGAAGCAATAGTGGTAATAGCAATATTGGATACGCTCATTTCCTCAATGAAAATATCTGAATCTTTACCAGATATTTTTAATATTTCTCACTGCCAGACCAACAACAACAAGATATCCTATAGGTATAGCCTATAAAAATGGTGCAGGACCTTAAGTGGTGAAGGAGGGACTTGTCGCCTAGTGTGGCAAGTGCCGTAGGATAACATGAGGAGTGTATTAGTCACCGCGACCAAAAAATGCTCCCGAAAGTATTGGTTTTACTTTTGTCGGTGGTTGTGCGTCGATAAGTGTGGCAATAGTCGCGCTTGTTATGTTATGTATTTGTTAGCACTCAGTATTCATATTTTTTTTGAGTATGTGAATAGTACAGCCATCTTTCTTGTATCTGAGATGTATAATGGTTTTGCCGTTGGAATGAAATAAATAAATAAATAAGAGTAAGGCCTCATAACTTAAAAAGGCCGCAAAACTACTTGATGTAGCCTAGAACAAACCATAACATTCAAAATGTTAGCCTACTCTCATCATGATGGATCCATGCCCGCCATGATGGATTCATGTATATAGTTTATATTTAAGATAAAGCAGAGTTGAGAGTAATAATGATAGTTATTAAACTGCCTAAAGTGCGTACTTACTATCATTTGTTATACAGTCCAGACCATCTATAGATTGTAAATACGGTACGGTACCCAATAAGATTGATTTAATCCGATGCAGTTTATGTTTTATATCAAGTTCTGCTGACACTCTTGTATTACGTTTTACAAGGTAGCCTACTTATGCTAGCTTTTATACATTAGGCCGGTTTTAAGTCCTGGGTAACTTATAGCTACTAGGCCCTACCTACGTATCAAATTATTAGCAAACACTCACCTCATCAACAGATTGTTTTGTATACTCGTTGAGCGACTCGACCCAAACTCCAAGTAATTCGTTCACTATCACTAAATCAGAATAGAGCCAGAAAAATAACTCATTCACCCACTTAACACTTTCACTTTCTGGTCCAGTTGCAGTCGGTGGAGGGTGGATGAAATTTGAAGATTTAGGCTTGGCGGGACCGATGGGGCCAACAGGCCTTCCAGATCTGGAGCCCAATCTTTTACGGCCAGGTGGAGTAGGAGGTATGTATCTGCCACCACCACCACCACCACCACCACCACCCCCTGAAGATTTAATGACAATATCCTTGGGGGGTTGTTTCACAGCTGAGTCCACAACACCGATGTCACTCTTGGTTGTGGTCACTAGGGGCTCAACAATGACACTTTGACTTTTCGGATCTTTATTTGCTACGAAATTCCCGTAAACAAATTTACCTATACCCAAAACAACTAACCCAAACATCATCCACCCGAACATGTACATAGCTACCGTATCCATTGTGGTTTCACCCTCACCCTCAAATGTACAGATCATATCGTCAATCTTGTCTGCCAAGTCAGCCATATTCCTCCATCCTTCCACCACCAGGCTCCAAATTCGCTCGGGAATGAGATCAACCATTTCTATTTTTAAATCACCAGCGGTACTCAGAACAGAAATAGCACCGAACCCCAAACTGATATCGTGTTTCTCGAACCGAGTGCCAAAGAACTCCGTGCAGTCACCGACTGACAGCAAGCAGCCATGTTTGTTTTGGTTCTGCTTGACAGTTCAACATCTGTTTGAGAAAGAAAAAAGCAAAGTCAAAGCCTACTTGATACTACCATTTGCAAACAAACCAAACTATATGAAATGAGAAGGAAACTTTTCTTCTAGGAGAGATTGAGAATCCATTCCCTTGAATTTGTCCAAGTAGACTCTTCTCTTCTTAACCTTTTGATGTCTGTTTTAGGTACGTTGAGTGCGCTGATGTCGAATAAATGTATCTATCCTATTTTAGTGCTGTTTCCCAATGTGTACAATAATCTTTGGGCTTTGATTATTATAAAAGAGGAAGCATTCGTTTGATATTGTTATATTTAGTCATACATAATAGTTTTCACTTGGTTTAATAATAACATGCTTGTTAAACAGCTTACATAGATATTAAAAGGAAACATAACGTGCTCTCTACATTGAAACATCCCTTGATGATGAGTGTCTTCTGCTGACCGATAAGAGATTAATCTTTAATCTATGGCTCTTCGTTCACTTACTAGCATTGATTTTTTATAGCCAATGATAATGGTTTGTTCAATTTTTAAGTAAAAGTTAAGGATATTCCTAATATTATCATTGTTTATTCAATCCCAACCACAAAAATAAGCTGATAGGCTACAGAAAACTAGTGCCTACACTTAGAAAGTGAAAATTACGTCGAAAACAAGTATAGTAGTTGAGCTATAAATTTATGAATTAGATCACAGCCAGGTGGCTGTGATTAGATTCGAAGTAGAAGATGAGGATGGTTGAGTTGAGACTCGGTGGGCCGATCGCACTGATCACAATCACAGTGAGCTGTTCTCTGGTTCCTTGCAGTTCGAATAAGAATACAAACATTGCAATATATACCATTATATTAACCACTCTTTATGTTTATATCCATATGTCTTCTGCTTGAGACGTATTCACTATCCTACTTTGTTTCACCTTACCAACACAAGCAGGTGCCATTTGCATGTGGTCGGTGTCGAAGGCAGACTGTCACCAGGTCGTTGATCTAGTATTCTAGTAGATTGAAAATACCTGGAGGATAGGCTTGCTTTGTCAGTAAGCAGCTTTGCCAAGGCTCAAGAAACTCTGTTCTGACCGGATAAACTCATTTTTCCTAGATTCGGCTTAGAACCTGACAATACCTGGAAGAGACCATTAGTGGAAAACTTTTCCTCAAATCCTACAGGAAGATTCTCGTACCCTAGACCTTGATTCATGATATTCTGTTTCAAATACCAAATACGTACCCAAGACTATGACAGGTGTTATGTATATTGTGTGGTAGTGATCAGTGGGCAGTGAGAACCAGGGTCGTACACAGGTTCATTTATTTCCCTGCGATGTCATCATTGACACATTGACAAATTATTAACTATGTGAACTTAATATTTAGCAGAAAGCAATATAGTGGGGGCAACAGTGTGGGGTAAATTAGAGTTAGTCCTATATGATGTCGACCAATCAGGATTGTATTTTAAGACAAAATACCTCCGCTACAGCAAACCTGCCGACTAAGCGAATTTCCATTTGGCTGGATTGATTTTAAATTAATCTATACTAGGTGGCGTTCGCAGAGGCATCCACAAAATTGAGCGGAGTCATCAAGGGTTTATATTATATTGTTTTGGTCATACTGCAGTAATACCAGTCGTTTTTAATGCATGCGTTGCGGGTCTAAAGTAGCATTTTTACTCTTTAGGAAGTAAAAATAGTTTTTATCCTCATGGAGTAAAAATCAGCTGTTGTCAATTCAGTTGTAAATTACTATTATAAACGATTGCATGTATCGAAATATGTATCGATTCGTGCTTCGTAATTATTTTAACCTACAGTCTACAGTCTCTTCCCATAGCTTTTTAGCATTGCAGATACTTTAATCCATTCCCACACTCAACACGCTCACCTTTACTACTACCTTCACCACCCCCTACGTCGTGGACCTATTTCCCTCTCTTCCCATAGTATTTTAGGATTGCAGATAAATTAATGTAATTGCCAAAGACAGTTCCCACACTATGCACTGCAAGCCTTACTACTTCCTTCACCATTTCCTACGTCATAGACTTGTTTCCTTCCCTTCTCGTAGCATTTTTGGATTAAAGATACATCAATCTAACTGCCATAGACGGTTTTCACACTATGCTCATACTTTACTACTTTCTAAGCCATTTCCTACATCGTGGACCTGTTTTCATCACTTACCATACCAATTTAGTATTTTAGATACGTTAATCTAATTGCCACAAACATTCCCCACACTCCGCACTGCTAGCCTTTACTACTTCTTTCACCATTTTCTATGTCGTGGGGATGCTTCCATCCCTTCTCATAGCATTTCAGCATTGCAGATACATTAATCTAACCGCTACAAACGGTTTCCAGTTCCCACACTCCACACTGCTCACCTTACTACTTCCTTCACCTCTTCTTACGTCGTGGACATGTTTCCCTCTCTTCCCATAGAATTTTAAGATTCTAGATACCTTAATCTAATCGTCATAAACAGATCCCACTCTCCGGACAGCTCACCTTGACTACTTCTGTCATATTATTATAATTTGCATTACATATGTATTGTTATTCGTTCTGGCTAATTAAGTTCCGTAGACATGGGTCAAACATGATAAGGGCGTGACTTGCATGTCCCCCACCCCACTTGTTAACTAGCCTAGACGCTTCCTTAATAAACTGGACTTTGTAGCAGCAAGACGTGTTTTTATTCAAGACCCGTCATAAGACAACTTCCTTCACCACTTCATACGTCTCAGACCTTTTCTCTCCCTTCCCATAGCATTTTAGGATTGCAGATACCTTAATCTAATCGTCATAAACAGTTTCCACACTCCGGACTGCTCGCCTTTACTACTTCCTTCACCACTTCCTACGTCACGGACCTGTTTCCCTCCCTTCCCATAGCATCATGGGATTGCAAATACCATAATCTAACGGTCATAAACAGTTCCTACACTCCGGACTGCTCACATTTACTTAGGCACTTCCTTCACCACTTCCTACGTCACGGACCTGTTTACCTCCCTTCCCATAGTATTTTATGATTGCAGATACTTTAATCTAATCGTCATAAACAGTTCCCAAATTCCGGACTGCTCGCATTTACTACTTCCTTCACCACTTCCTACGTCACGGACCGGTTTTCCTCCCTTCCCATCATAGGATTGCAAATACCTTAATATAATGGTCATAAGCAGATCCCACACTCCGGACAGCTTGCCTTGACTACTTCTTTCATCACTTCCCACGTCGTGGACCCGTTTTCCTCCCTTCCCTTATAATTTTTGGAATGCAGATACCTAAATCTAATCGTCATAAACAGTTTCCACACTCCGGACTGCTCGCCTTTACTACTTTCTTTGCCGCTTCCTACGCCACGGACCTGTTTCCCTCCCTTTCCATAGCATTTTATGATTGCAGATACCTTAATCTAATCGTCATAAACAGTTCCCACACTCCGTACAGCTCGCCTTGACTACTTCCTTCATCACTTCCTACGTCACGGACCAGTTATCCTCTCTTCCCATAGCATTTTATGATTGCAGATACTTTAATCTAATCGTCATAAACAGTTCCCACACTCCGGACTGCTCGCATTTACTACTTCCTTCACCACTTCCTACGTCACGGACCTGTTTTCCTCCCTTCCCATCATAGGATTGCAAATACCTTAATATAATGGTCATAAGCAGATCCCACACTCCGGACAGCTCGCCTTGACTACTTCCTTCATCACTTCCTACGTCGCGGACCCGTTTTCCTCCCTTCCCTTATAATTTTTGGAATGCAGATACCTAAATCTAATCGTCATAAACAGTTTCCACACTCCAGACTGCTCACCTTTAGTACTTCCTTAAGCACTTCCTACGTCACGGACCTCAAGCTAGTGTCGACATTTGATTATATTTATGATTCATACCGTTTCTGTTCTAATATCTGTGGAATAATGCTATAGTTCGGCCGCTTAGAAAACGACCTGCGCGCTAATGCTAAACCAATGCTGGAGGAGGTCGTTTTCTAAGCGGCCGACCTATATCAACTATTTTCTTTATCTACTGCATTCAAAAGTCAACAGATGATTATATGTCTTTGTTTATGTGTCAAATACTGCTTCCATAAGGATTACATTGAAACTTTGAGACCCAGTGGGGCGGATTCCTGAGAGTTATTTTTAACGCCATATAGATGTTGGCACTCACCGATATGGTCTTTATCACCATCCAAAATTTGAAAACGATTGATTCAGCCGTCTAGGAGGAGTTTGCGTATTACGAAATGCATAAAAGTCGACGTATAAGAGCTTCGCTCGCTTCGCTCGCTCCGCTAAAAAATTAACACTTATTTTTATCAAGTTTGCTAGGTTTGCTGCTACAGGGAAACTAATAAAGTGTGTTTTTTATTAAAATATTAATAGTTTAGTACAAAATAAATAAATCTGCCAAGTTTTATAAAATATATCCATAAACAAGCCAACTACAACATTTTACAATATTCTCCATAAGAATAACATGGGAATTTTTAATTAACAATTTTGTAAATTTTCTCCGTAACCAATAACCATAAAACAACACTTTGATATACCAAACTATTTGTTTTTTAAGCTACCAAAATATTGTTTATAAGGTCTAGAGAAAAACTTACCTATAAGTTTTTAGTTTTAAGGGGAAAAAATTAGAAAACCCCATTTTTACCCAATAAAACCCCCGTTAAACCCCGTTCCCATGGTCCGATCATGCTGGTTCGCGTTCACGGACGTATATATATTTACATAAATACAAATTCAAACGAATAGTTTTTTTGACTTTGTGGTCATTAAAATGAAAAAGTATATAGGTCCCGGCTCTTAAGTCTTACCGTGCCACCTACGGCAATAGCTACTTCCCTACACAGTAATGGGGTACTATGGTTTATCATTTCTACAGGAATTTAGGCCTATTGTCTATAGGCCTAAATGTTATATATTATATAAAT